AATATTGATAAAAATTTTGGTCAACATCATCATTATTCTTTTTATCATGATTAGAGATAACGATAATATTGATCATTTCAATTGAAATCATTACTTTTTGTTTTAGTCTTCAACAGTACATAAATTAGACTGACAAAAATGTCTATGACATGAATAGTGGTTCATGTTTGTTGTAATTGCAGAAGATTTTCAACTATTCATTATGAAAAATAAATATACAAAGTGCAAATTATAAGTTTGGTAGTGACAAATAAGAAATAAACTTTTTTCTAGAATATCAATATCGTTTGACAATGGCAATAACTTTTGGAGTTCCGACACTAGTGAATGCATTAATCTGGTTGACTGATAATTAAAAAAAACACGGTAATACCAAGATGATGTTCAGTAGTTGAAAACCAACCAAATAAAGCTACACAACGATGAATTCAAATGGTAGTTGATAAGTTTTAACTAGCTTTAATTTCCTTAATAGTGAACATCAATGATTTTTTATCCCAATTTTTTGCGAATTGAGTAATCCAAAAAATAGATAAGATTTTGATAATTCATTGAAGATACAAAAGATAAATGATTAAACCGAGAAGTAATTGTGCTTAATTATGTTTATAATGTTTTTTTGAAAGTATGGTTAAAAAATTTTAAAGCATAATTGAATAATAGGGGTATACCAGTATGAATAAAACTAGCTTTGTATAGACAAGAGTAGTGATGGACAAATGAGAAAAATTTACGGAATTAGTAAATGACATAAACAATTTTAAGGGATACTTAATATTACGACTTGAAAAATACACGGTAAAAATAAAATGTATAGTGACATGGCTCAGAATCGTTTGCAATGGAGCAGGTGTATACACTTTGTGTTCTCCCAAATTCTAATTTCTTGATTCCTCCTTGTCTCTTTTTTTCTCTTTCCAACTTTATTTCACTGGATTATACTCTTCAAATTACATCTCCAAACCCTAATCTTTCCGATTACTGTTTATACTCTTACTACCTCTACAACTACGGGATTTGAATCGATAACTACATCTCTGTGCTAATGTGGTATGGCAACTCGAACTGATGTACGTACGTACGAAGTTCTACGTTGTTACTGACTGACTGATGATGTGTAAAATATCGGGAAAATGAAGCAAACAATCGAGATCCGAATAAAAACATCTACTTGAAAAAAATAACAATATTTTTTGTGATATTCTAATGAGTAATAATTTGTATTTCTAATGTTTCATGACTATAATATAAGTCAATTCATGAGAGGAAGAAAATACCACATCAAAATACTTGTATATCATAGTCGTTTTAATAAATTAAACGGAAAGTGATTCTATGGATTCCTAACATAAATCTTTTCATTAGATTCATCATAAATGAGTTGCTTGCATTGGTAACACTCTTAGTCTCACAATATTTGAGTTGATAGCGAAGATAAGAGAAATACCAAGATGACAAATTTTGATGAATACACAACTATAAATAATACAGAAAGTACATGTGATAAACTTAAAAGCTGTAACAAAATTATGATAATGTTGCAATTATTGTAATAGAAATCATTTAAAAACCCTGATACTATAGATTGTTTCAGACTATTTTCTATCAAGACAATAATCAATAAAAAAAGTTTTGGCTGGTTATTTATATAATTTTTCGTATCAGTACAGTTCATGTTAAACTGACCAATTTCAAAGGTACTGGACTAATAGATTTACATACTTCTGAGATTTATAATAAGGAGAAAATATTATGAATAGTACAATATTATCAATGATGGTATAAATCTCGAGTAAGATGATGTTATCATGAGGTACAAAATAAAAGTAATTGAATTATCGATGCATAATCCCAAGCAAAATTAAATTATAACTAACTTGAAATGCACCGACCATCGATCCACGGGACATCCATCCTAGATCACCCCCTGAACGAGCTTTATCTTCACTGTACATTTCTGCTACTTGATTAAAACGTTTACCATTTTTAAGTTGTTCTAAAGCTTCTAAGCATTTACTTTGTTTTTCACATAGTATATGACGTACCTTAAATAAAAGTAAATCACAGAAGATTATATTAAAAGCATATATAAGACGTAATCTAAACAGAATAGCTAATTATTACAATACTCCATAGGTTTGAAATTGGGTTCGGGATTATTAGGTCAATTTAAAAGAAGTGATTAAATTACTTTCGAACAAATGAAAGGATTAAATATTCTAATGGTCAAGGCTTCTACAAAATTATAAATGTAAAACTGCTTTTGCATACAAATTTTAAGGTTTTTCTAAGGTCAATCTTAGTTAATGTAGTAACATTTGGCAGTTATAATTAATTCTTGATAGTTTAACACTCATCTGAACAATGATATATGAAGTGTAGGTATTACGTAAGATGTTAACATTAAATGGCAAGATATATAAAAAATTATTTTGTTTTGTTACAGGGAAATAACAAAGCATTAACTAAAATAGAAAGTAGTTTCCACTGAATTGTAATCAAAACTTTAAAATTGCGAATAAGTATGAAGTAAAGAAATAAGAAAGGACATAAAGTTAAGATAATTTCAAAAAGATAGTAGATAGAAAAAGATAATATTATTTTCCCCAACAGTGATATTTATTTAAACTAAATGTTACTGTAACCAACTAAAACATGACACAACAATAATATCTGAATAATTAATACTAGGTATTGTGCATACAATAACAATAACTTTGCAATACTCCTTTAATACAGGATCTACATATTATTATTAGGCGTCTTTATTATATTGAATAAAGTAATCTATACTTCTAATCCACTGACAATGTATGCTCATTTAAAAGTTCTTATTCAATCAAAATTTAAGTTGGTTATTCATTTTAAAAGTTGAAATCACGAGTCGATCTAAGCTAGACCACCATTGAAAACCTGAAATCACTGGACGGTCGTTTCGTCCGAATATGGGAATCCTCAGCAGTGCGCATTCACAAAGTGATAAGAAAAATATTTATTAGAGCTCAGGATTCATTAGATTATTGAGTTGAAACAAAGTTCTGTTTATTTACGTTTGGAAAACCAGGTAGTATCAATGAATGTGATGAAACTAATTGTATCTTGTCTCCTCAAGGAAATTTTTAGTAAAAACGTGAAAAATCTGTTCAGAAATGAAAAAAACATTAGAGTACGTGCGCGGTTCAGATATGAGTATATGGTAAATGAGTTATATTGTGTAGTTCAATAACGAATACACATATCTTTGACTGCAGTTTGAAGCAAAATGTAGCACTATTGAAGAAATTTAACGACGCCACTGGAAAACAACTACTTACAATCCATATGAACTGGTTTTAAAGATAAAAATACATCTCATTAGCAGTAAAGAAAACATAAACTGTTCTACTAATTTGACGTTTGTTACATTTCCATTTGTCGGTAAAACGAAAGTACACCTACTTAAAAAACCTTCCTCAAATCAAATATTCATCACCATAGAAAACAATAATTACGGTAAATCACGATCAAACTAGTAAATCAGTCAACTTGAAAGTATAACCATCATACTGAGTGAGTTAGGGGATTTTATCAATGATCAATAAGCAACGAGAATAACGGTTAACACTTCATTGACTTTGTAAACAAAAAGACAAATATTCTAGGACATCATAGATCTAATATAAAAAATAAAGGAACTATTCCACAAATGCTGAAAAACGTAAATGAAAACATTGAATTTGAGGTAAACACAATCTAAAAAATACGTATGACAAATAACAAAGCATTTTGTCATATTATATAAGTTACCTTCACCGCATTTGCCAACTTGGACTGTTTACCAGAGCCGGTTGATGATGCATTATCAGTTTTATTGTTAGAATTAGTTGAACTTTTTCCACTCATCTTACCACTTTTTGAATTGTCACTTTTAGCAGACGACTTTGGCATGATATTGTTTTTATTATTAGTTCTAGCAATGGCTGTGAAAGATAAAAGAAAAATAAAATTGGTGTTATTCAGCGATCGAATAAACAATTATTATTCTGAAAAGGTTATATGGAAAAGAAAAAATGTAGGTGATTTATAAATTAAAAGTCAGCTTAATACAAGTTTGGTTAGGTAGTTAATGGCGCTTTGTTCAATTTGGTAGCTTATCATAGACAAGTGGCAAGGACTGAATAGCTTATTTCGTCACCATTTGGAACTAATAGGAAGTCTGAATGCATTTCGGTACAGATTTCCAGTAATCCTTAATTCTAACTGACGAATTTGTAATTAGGAAAACTGATCAAGGTTGAGTCATTCAAAATAACTTTGTTTACAAGAAATTCAGTACTCCAAATGTATGCTCTTTTATTCGATAACCTTAAGAATCAGATCAATCAGGATAGGTACAAACATGTAACACTGAAAAACTAATAGTGATATAATATTGAAACAAATGATCACTACAGATAAGTGCACTAGAAGGGTTCTTTATGAATATATATTAATCATTTATTTGTAAATTATATTCTGATATTAATAACAGATCATCATTTCTAACCTTCATACATCTGTTTTTGATTAACACACAAAATTTAATGTGATATAAGAACAAAGATCCTGTCAAAATAAAGGGTTGAGTAATAATTGAACTAAACAACATTTTGTTATTCATCCTAAAGAACCCTATGAAGCATAGAACTGTTTTGGTTAAATCCAGTACATGAAACAGCTTTTATGCAGAGCATAATCAAATTTAATTGCTTTAGGCGCTTAGACTTCAGTTAAATTACAAGTAAATGTAGTAACATTCTATAAAACCGTCCCATTTCATTTAAAATATGTACTATAGCTAATCCATCATTAATAATCAACTTCCGATCCCACTACACCTATTCGGATTTCAGTAAATAAACAGTATCTAAATGTGAACTTGGTTACTGAGTTTCATCAAATTTAAAATTATATGATTTTCCAACCATCATTTAGCATGTATATATATATGGACGAACGTGTAAAAGAAGAACATATAAAAATGTACATGAATCCTTTTATCTTTCCAGTTTAAATTATTAACAAATGAGGAAAACCATTCAAAATTAATATTGTGAAGCAAAAGAGCAACAGGGAAAATGATTATTCCAAAATTATTGTCTGATAAGATACAGAGAGAGAGATAAGTGTGTGTGTGCTCAATTCATGTCAAATTATCGAAGAAAAAATTAATGTTATTAATAATTTTTACAAGAAATACAGAAGCTGCCACTAATAAAACTGCCACATAATTAACTCGACTGGTTGATTCTCAATCCCATGCGTTTCCGTAGATCCCTATCAAGACCACAAAAATTAAAATTGTTGTTTAACCTGATACATTCAGTTACAATTAAATATAATTAAAAAACAAAATGTCATCTATGGATTTAAATCACACACGTCATTCAAAAGAAGTCTGGTGTTTATTTGTTTTCTCTTTCTTTTTTCCTTTTTTTTACTAAAAAGGATAAAACAAATGGAGTTATCATTTACATTTTAATATTGCCTTCATTGTATTTGAGAAAAATAAAGGGGAAAATAACAAAAATTCAATATTTCAGCATTTAATAAAAAGTAAGTTGGTAACGGATGACCAAAAAAGAAAACATAAGAGTCATAAAAATAGAGTCAATAATAGAAAAGTAGGAATAAACAGTGATTATTATTATCAACATTAAAAAAATAATTCATTGGAAAACCAGCACAAAATCGTTTCCAATACAATCATTATTATTATCGAGATCAGTGTAAATTGAATAACGGTTTACAAAAGTATACACATATATGTATAACAAAGTATTCAAATGATCTGATGTTTCTCATTTCACCATAAAGGAATGTTAATAATGATAATAATAATAATAAGAAGAATAGTACAGTAACTTCAGAATGTTTGAATAAGTGAATATATATTTGTGTATTATAGTGCTGTTTACTTAAATTGATCTATTGTGTAATACACATTTTGTTAGTATGTAAATAGTGTCGACAAACAAAAAAAAAAAGACAAAATAAACAAATCAACGTGAAATGCCTTTTTTTTCTTCAAAATCACTATTGAAAATTTCATTATAAACTATTTTACATAATTGATTTAAATTTAATATAATAAACTTAATGCACCAGTATCACTTCCTATTAATAATAAATTATTTTCTGATAATGAACTAATGGCGCTAATGGAACCACGTAGAAAATGTGAAGAAATTCTGCCTAATGTATAAAAGTTTTCATTTATATTATTATTATTATCATTATTATTATTGAATGGATATGAACAAGTTGCTAATATTGTTCCACTGTTATTATTAGTAGTATTGTAGTATGGTTGTGGTACTGTTGTAACAGTTGACAACGGTGTAGTTGACGTCTCGTTTATTATGGATGACAATGATGATTTATCTGAGTTAGTAGTTACATTATTTGTTCCTCCGATTCCACTTCCACTGCCAAAAATTGGGAAACGACTTGTACTCGGTAATGGATATGATGAAGGTAGAGAATTAGCACAAAATATAGGATTTTCTTGATGTTTAGTTAAACATGTGATATTCTGGAGTGTTGATGGGATTCGAATAGATTTTGGTTTTAAAACAATGGTGGGTTTATTCGGTAAATAATTAAAAGTTTCTAATTCACTATATGAAGTTGATAACGAATCCTGATTGAATTTTGATAAAGTAGTTGGATTAATGAATGACAAAATTCGATCGTTACATGATATAAATCCATTCAAAAGATGTGGGATAATCTAAAGTGAATAATAATATCAATATATAAAGAGTATTACTATATGGAGCTTAGTATGTAATTTACTTAATATGTTAAAAAAAATCTGGAGTAGATAACTAACGAATCAACTGTTTACTCTGAGGAGTAATTTTATCTTCCCTGTTAATAACTTAAATGGCAGGATGAAAAATTTATGAGTAAAATAGCAATCTGTTCCGTTGAAAGTCACGGTATTCCACCAAAATCGACAGAAGCATTCTCTGTGACCGAACTTTTATATATTGGGTCATTGAAAACTGCCGAAAAACTCGATTGGCCAAATGAGTGTCGGTGCAGTTGGTGAAATCAATCCACTTATGGTAAAATCCAGGACGATTATAAGAATCTGATCCATATTTGTCGTTCTTACATTAAGTTTCAGTGATTTAAGGATGAAAAATAAAGGCCACCTGTTCAATTGGAATTTTGAAAATTTTGGATATAGAATAAACATTCAGTAACTTGTTTCATTTTAGTACAATATGTTAGTGTTTTCACTCAATTTCAAACTTGGCATAGATCAATGAAAGATTTATTCCACGTTTATGTTGAGATATTAAAGCTCCAGGCATCATGTTGGTATCAAACGAGATGAACGCTAGTTCGACAAGCGAATAGACATACTCTAAGTATATAATCGGTATACAAATCATGTATAATCTGATAGACTGATTTTATATGTTGATCTGATATTTTACACATTTTCCTAACATTTCTACTGAATAGTTTTACTGTACATGAGTGATGCTATATGTTGGAAAAATAAACTTCTAACAATTTAGCTTTTATGCTCAATCCAAACATATTGACGATTTCCTTTTGGTCAACATCAACCAGCTCTGATAAACGATTCCAAATAACGGATGAAATATTTTTATGTGACGCTTATCACAAACACTGTTGCAAACTTCGTTTGAGCTATTATATAAAGAATATTTTGTATTCACCTCATTTTTGTTATTAACAATGTAGAGTTGTGTGAAAAATCATTGACCGAACAGTGTACACATTGGGAAAAACCATTAGTTTCACCCTTTACAAGCGTGGAAACTCTTAGTTAAGGTGTACATAGTGTTTTAGAATTTTTAATCGTAGTAGAGATAGATTTAAGAAAATAATTAAAACCATGAAAAAAAAACGAAAAACAAATTACTCACATCAACTACTGAATCCTGATATTCTCTCCATATGTGAATAACTTGTCCCATTCGTAGATCTAATGCAGTAATTATGCCTGTTGTAAAACCACACAATAAATAATAACCGTTTCGACTAGTTGTTAAACAATTTAACAAACCAGTCATATTTGTATTAGCATTTAGTAGAGAAGAAATTGAAGAATTACTGTTTGTATTAGTAAACGAATTAATTGATAAATGATACGGTTGAAATTGATTAGTTATGTTCATCATAATATTTGTGATAGATAAATCCATTGTAGACTGGTTGTAAAAAGAAGGAGCTGTTGAATAGATAGAATGAAGGTAAAAAAAATACAGGTAAGAAATGTGTAACGAAATCTAAAAACAGTTCGTCAATTAAAAACATACAGCTTGTTGAACCGAATCTTTTGATAATTAAAGAAAACAGTGATTTAGCAGTAAAAGAACTCAGTTTTCAACTATTAGATCACAATTTCGAAGTCCCTTCAATTATATACTCAGTTTATACTTTCGGGTGAGTACCATTAGAATTTGTACAAAGCATGTGTCTAAAAATCAAGTAATCGAATGTGTACTTGAAAAATGAGTTAGTTATGGAATGTTCTTTTTATGGTTAAATTAAAAAAACAGCATATGATGTACAAGAGAATAAAACATTTAAAAAGTGATAAGATGCAATAATTATTTCTAATATGATGATTAGAAATACAAAAGTGTATGAAATACACTGTTGATTCAATTTATTGAGCTGGTTGAAAGAGAAGATAAATGATTATGTAAACATTGAAAATCAAACATTAAAAATGGTCTAATTTGTAAAAACCTAAATTATATTATATGAGTAGAAATAGCTAAACTATGACACAACTTGTAAAACAATAATATTCATATTCATTGTTCGAGTGAATAACTAAACCACACCTATACAAAATAAAATCACACATAATATTCAGTGTATAGATCGGTTTTACTTATCATAGTATGGTGATAACAGTCAAATAGTCAATCATTGTTAATTTTACTTATTTATTTAAACACATAAACATTAGTACAAGGAGGCACCAAACAAATCACTTGATTTATGTGAGGTATGGGATACTGCCCGGGTGCCAAAACCGAAGCGGATGGTTTCCTTAGGGGGCCACACCAAGAGCTTTTGACCTAAAGGTCTAATCCACAAGGTAGTGGAGCAACGTCAGGAGATGCAGTCCCATGGTAGCTGGTGACCAACGATTGGCGCATATGCTATTTGTTCCTTCAGGATCCTGGAGTCCATATACACCATTGGTTTGGAATCAAGGTTTTTCAACTCTCCTAGGTGGACCCTCCGTGTTCACTCACCCGGTTAAAGCGCCGGACATTATTAATTGTTCTATGGTGTCCACATTTATATTTCATTATATATATATAAATTCAGTTCTTTATTTACTGTGAAGAAGTGGATTACATTAGGTCACAGAACGTCAGAAATACAATTTTCCTAGTCGTTAGGATATGAAAAAATGTATGTTTATCATAAAAAATCCAGGAGGTTTATAAACAAAAAAAAACAGACATGTAAATTAAACTCACTAGATTGTGATTATGATTAGTTACATAAAAGAAAAACGAGTCGAAATCTTTAACCTGGTTCTGTGTAACACTTCACTTGAAGATTAACCATTGACTATCTAAATACGAAGATCATACTGAACTACCTGATTGCTATGATATTTGCGAATTTCAGTAAGGTAGATTTCAACATTGTTATGAACTAGAATTGATTAAATTCACCAGTTTCTATACAGCTGAAGAGAATACAATGAATCCAAAGTATTTTACAAATAGTGTCATTTTGTTAAGTTTAATTATTATTTGATAGGTCATACGTTTTTAATAAAATAATTTGTACATAAATTAGCAAGTTACGTTTCACCATAGTAGTAATGTAGTGAACGGATACTCAGATGGGAAAAATCTATCTATTGTTTTATGGAAAATTGCGTAGTGCCTCTGTAAAATATGAAAATCATATGATAAATACATTCATTAAAGAGGAATAATATATATATGTAAAATCTCAGCGAATGAATTTTAAGTAAATCCAACGTTATTCTGTTTGCTCTCCGTCTTTCTTTATGTTCTCTCTATTTCAATCTTTTACTGGTAAGCATTCCACTCCTTATTCTTGTTACATACTACCTATATCTGCCCACATAAGAAGCGTATACCACAGTAGTATTTCTAGCATGGAACAACAATTAAATTCTAGATATTATTAAAGCAAAAAAAGATTTTCAACAGTAAACACAACAAAAATTGAAGCACTGAACGTACAGCATAATTTCGTATTATATCTTGTATGCTTGATTGATTCATTGATAGGAGTTTCAAATTTTGAGCGTTCTTTGTTTATTAGAAATGAAGCTAAATTTGCACCACTATGGAAACGTAAACTCCCTGTTCTTCCGGAACACACAGCACGAGGATCTATAAGGTGTACAAAACCTGACTGGTCAGAACAGATAACAGCTCCATAAGGAACAGAGCTACAATTTATTGCAGTTAGATTTTGCCAACTTGAATTTTCGCTTTGATTATTGGATCTTACCTAACGGAATGGAGAGAGAAAAATTCTACAGATTTCTGAATACAAAAAAGTTAATTTTATCAATATACTGATACATTCAAAAGAAGTATGTCTAATCGTTATATATAACTAAGAACATGATCTACTAGTGCAGTAATATAATCGCCGTTTTGTACATTAATTCCAGTGTCAAATGACTTTTCATTTATCATTAAAACGTTAATTATTTCTATCAACTGTCCAAAATGAAACCTAGCGATTCATTTCAGATTATAGAGAAATGCTATTCCAAAGCCAGAATTAGATTTTTTATACAGTTATTCGTGAACACAAACGAAGATGTAAAAGTGGATTGAAGTGATTCCAACTTTACAGGAAATTTGAGAGAATTATTATATAATTTTCGCTACTATGATATAATTTCAATGTATAAGGTTTAAACTTTTAAAAAACCGAACTTATGAATAGATTATTTTTAAGGAAATGCCAAAGCATAATATTAATCTATGTAACGATATATTAAGAATCATAATCAGAGTTAGTAGTAGGAAAAAATTTTACATTTAAAGGTATTAAATTACAGTTTAAATAATACCTCTTTTAGCCACTCAGTGGCTAAACCGTGTTTAAAGCGAAAGCGACTAATTGAAGTCCCGTTGTGGATATCAACATTGGAGTGTAGGTGGATCGAATTGATCATTTTAATGCTACACATTATCAAACTTTGCTTAAAGATATTTCTTTTAATTCCGACAGCTACTTATAGCAAACGCTGACATAAAACAATAAGGACCGATCACCCAGTGTGAATATCATTTCGATGACCACGACGCTGATAAGTGAGATTAATTTTGGTTTAAGCTACATAGTCTACAACTACCAGGTGCCTTCTCTTTTGCGAGTGGTATACTGATAGAATATAGTTTCACGTTGAGATAAGGTGTCTACTTACAAAATGTAATTTAAATATATATAATGTTTAAACGTAACTGGCTAAATCACAAGGATGAACAAAAAGTATAATTATACATACATATTTTTATAAAAAGAACTCTGAGGTCATATATTTTTGTTTTATAAAAGAATAATGATGAAACATACTGTTTTCCCCATCCATGGATCCCAGAAGATTAGACAACTATCAATAGAAGCCACTAATCGATAAGGTTCCAGATAATGCGCAGCAATTACAGATTTTCTATGTGCTCTGTATACTAGACGAGCAACTACATTATTACTTGAATCAATAGGTAGACTTTTATTTGAATTATTCACATTATTATTATTAGTTATTTTATGATTGATGGATACAGAATGTTGATCAGAATTATAAGTATCAGTTAATGACCATAACTGAACTGTTTTATCACGACTTGTTGTAATGAAACAATTTTCAGTATTTAAATGCGTGATACAATTGATTTTGTTAATATGGCCTAGAAAATAAAAGTTATTTTTTGAAAAAAAAACCCGCCTACATATAATCGAAGACTAATAAGAAACTGGTATTTAACATTAATCATAATAAAATAAGAGTAAATTCTAGTAGAAAATAATTAATTTTAGGAAAAAGATCTATTCAACAGTAAGCCTTTTGGATGTTGTTGGTAAATAGAGGTATAGTTCACTCAAAACCTATCGAATTGCCACATTATTAATATATCCTGAGCAAAATACATAAATTCAACTTCACACAACACTGTTTGCTGTTTAAGGTTTGTAATGTACACTAGAGACAGAAAGAATTAAACTGGAAACTCGAATGTAAACGTCCCATTTTACAAAACAATATGTTGAAAGCAATATATAGTTTAATTCTAATTAAAATGAATGAAGACTAGAATAAAATGTGATAACTTTAAAAAATTGGGCAGTGTCTTAAAATACTCAAATTGCTTGTTTCAAATACCGCAACATCTATTTCAAGTTTGAACTTCACCTATAGCTCTTCTAGGGGTACTGCCACTACGAAGAAGAAGGGTTGAGCATGGGATCGACAACCACATCCGTAGAAAACAACCTTGCCCAAAAAACGCTAACCAGAATAAACAGTTTAAACCATTTAAACTCTGCCCTGGGAAAGATGCAACTGTACTTCGGTCACGAAGTGAAAAATGCTGTGCATACTCGGGGATTTGTTTGTTGCTGTGCAAAGAAGTACGGAATGCACTTGTAGGATGGGAATCTCATGAATCCAGAATCATAAAAGCATCATTAGAAATAAAGAAGGAGGGAATTACGATGACTGTTATCCAATGTTATGCACCCATCAATCATAGCAATAACGACGTTAAAGATCAATTCTATGAGAGGCTGCAATCAATCATAGAGAAGTGCCCAAGAAAGGACCTCACCATTCTGATGGGAGATCTAAACGTCAACGTTGAAATAGACAACACCGGATATGAATATATCATGGGACGACATGGACTGGTTGAGAGAAACGAAAATGGGGAAAGATTTGTAAATCTGTGTGCATTCAACAAATTGGTCATAGGTGGCACAATATTTCCACACAAACGTATACACAAAGCTACATGGATCTCACCGGACCACACCACACAGAACCAGATAGATCATATTTTTATCAATAAAACCTTCCGAAGGACAATGGAAGATGTGAGAACCAGGAGAGGTGCTGATATAGCTTCAGATCACCATCTAGTTGTGGCCAATTTAAAACTGAAGCTAAACAAGAACTGGACAACTGGACAAACAGCAATACAAAGGTTCAATACAGCCTTCCTTCGAGATACTAACAAACTCAACGAATTCAAGATAACTCTTAACACCAAGTTCCAAGCCTCACAGGATCTACTGAAGGAAGAAGAAACTACTATAGAGGACAACTGGAAAGGTATCAAATAAGTATTAACTTCAACGTGTCAAAAGGTTCTGGGCCGCAACAGGCATCATCATAAGGAATGGATCTCTATAGAAACACTGGACAAGATCAAAGAAAGGAAGAACAAGAAGACAGCAATTAACAACAGCCGAACACGAGCAGAGAAAGTCAAAGCACAAGCTGAGTACACAGAAGCAAACAAGCAAGTGAAGAGCATTAAAATCGACAAGCAGAAATACACAGAAAAAGCTGCAAGAGAAGGAAATATGAAACAAGGCAAGCCAATCATTGAGATTCATGAACAGAGGTACAGATAGGGAGAACGCTTTGATGAACTTTTGTATAGACCTGCTCCATCGAGTCCATTGGACATTAAAGCAACACCTATAGATTTTCCTTTAATTGTCACTTCACCAACGAACGGAGAAATCAACGTGATCATCAGATAAATCAAGAGTGAGAAAGCGACAGGACCTGAAAATATAATGGCAGAAGTCTTGAAGTCAGACATAGAAGCAACTGAAAACATGCTCCACGTTCTTTTTAGAAAGATTTAGGAGGAAGAACAAGTGTCGAAAGACTGGAAAGAAGGACACCTCATCAATATATCAAAGAAACATATGAGCAAATGTGAGAACTACAGAGGAATCACACTACTGTCAGTACCAGTGTGGTGTGTGATACTTATATTGACATAGGTAGTATATGATGTTAGTCGTGAACATAAGGTCTGGCAGCAGAGAGACAAGAGGATCGAACAGTAAAGAATGGAAACAGGATGCGATTTGCATGAAAATGCAAGCACAATGAAGTTTGAGTCATTTTGAGACAACTGGTTGACATTTTGCAAATTAAGCATTTACTTTATGATTGTTAGATTTTATTAACAAGTCCTGTAATTTTGTGTTAAATACATTCGATTGTCCCCACTGGTGTTCTTGTTCACTACACCAGGAAAGGTTTTCAACAAATTGTTGCTGAACCGGATGAAGGACGCAGTAGACTCTCAACTCCAAGACTAACAGACTGCATTCTGTAGAGATCGGTTGTGCACAGACTAAATCACAACAATACGGATCGTCATTCAACAATCACTCGAATGGAACTCGTCACCTTACATCGACTTCCTTGACTATGAGAAAGAATTCGACAATGTGGATAAGAGAACCTTATGGAAACTTCTTCGACACTATGATGTACCTGAGAAAATAGTCAACATCATCCCATACACATTAACAAATGCGGGTCAAGACAAAGTGTAGCAGCAGCCTCTGCATCAGTAGGCATCATCGATGAACGTGGAGGATCCGACGCAGACGTATAGGCGAGGATTGAGAAAATAAGGGCATCATTCCTATAGTTGAAGAACATATGAAACTCAAAACAACTGTCAACCAATGTCTTTAATACGAACGTCAAGACAGTTCTGCTATACGCAGTTGAAACTTGGAGAACTACTACAACTACCATCAAAAAGATACAAGTGTTTATAGACAATTTTCTAGGCAAGATAATCGAGTTCCGTTGGCCGGATACCATCAGCAACAGCCTACTGTGATAGAAAACAAACCAACTCCAAGCTGAGAAGGATATGAGAAAAAGACGCTGGAAGTGGGCAGGACATATTGGAATTATCAAACTGCATCATGAGACAAACGCTGATTTGGAAATCTTGAAGGGAAACGTAAAAGAGGAAGACTAGAGAACACACTGAGTTGGGAATAGGAGGTAGACATGAAAAGAATGAATAGCAACTGGAAAGAATAGCCCAGGACAGAGTTGGATGGAGAATGCTGGTGACCGGCCTATGCTCCTCCATGAGGTGTAACAGACGTGAGTAAATAAGTATTTCAAGTTTGACAGTTGGTTACCGTCACTAGTTTACACATGAATAGTTTGAACTTCAAAGTTGAGAACGAAAAATCTGCGCTCAACAAGTTACATACATGCTTCATTAAAGAAAAAGATGTCGTATTTTCAAGTAGTGGCTGATACGTTAGGAAGATCGTCAAATAAGTTAATATTTCGATCATCATAGTTTTTAAAGAAGTTAACAACGACGAGAATTACAGAAGTTCGTATGCAGATTCCATAGTCATGCACACATGATGGAAACTAAACTACTATAAATCTGGTGTCCAATATTTCCTTTACAATATTTGAAAATCTGAAATAGACAAAGCGATGAAAACTGTCGTTTTTGATGATATATAATTTTTCTCTACAATTCACACTGTCAGAACTATTTAACAGATATATTAACTGTCAGGCTTGAACCAGTTACTCAGCGCAAGATTATCTGCCTCATATTTTGTATTATAGATACAATGATACTGGCGATAGTCTTTGGGCATTCAGTAGAATGTTTCATTTGCGTGACATGTCTGTAGTATATCATATAAACTGTCATTATTGAGACTGAATACATATGATATAAAGTTACCTGTGAATGCAGCCACTTGTATACCATGATACTTTGGAAGGGAAGCTGACTGGTTGGAGCTAGTCTCAAGGACTTCATAAATAACTTGACGCCAAGAACCACGCAAATGAAAATTGCAGTCGTTACACAATGCTGAACTAGCAAACTGAAATATTAATTAATTAAATCAGGTATAGTAGGCTTGCAACCAGGTATTGTGGTACAAAGAATTTATGTCATTGTTTTGAGTGGAAATATTCAAACCAAATAATTGTTACTTTTAAAAGTGGAAATGATTCCTTGTTTATATTACACAATAAATTTAAAAATGTATTTTGGACAAAAAGTAATGTCTCAAAAAAGTTTTTGATAGCTCTTTTATCAACAGAACTAACAAGAGAATAGTAAATATTCGTTGAAACAACTATTTACCTCCACGATGACAAGTTGAAAGCGAAGCTTATTTAAGCAACAAGCAAAAATAAATTTATGGGAATAAAACAACAAAGCATGTCGAATAAATGATGAGATAAATGGAAAACAAGAAGACACTTATCATTCCATAGAATCATTGGCTATTAGTCTGAGGCATGTTGACAGATACAAACAACTTGGTTACAGTCCACGCAATAATTGCGATTAACGGTTAAAGACATTAGGTGATATGTCTTAGAATCGGTTACAGCAGAGCTGTTGCATTCACCGTTTATCTTAATTTAGGTTTTGAATTCGAATATTTGTTCAAACACAGCTCTGCATTCCGTCTTCTCAAGTCGTATCAGCAATGCCTAGTGTTTCTCACAATCACCGTGACTACAACTATTTCAACCTTGCTAATTTCATCACATCGTGCTGATGTTGTGTGGTGACATGGACTAACGCAGATTTGTGTGTTTATTATAAATGACTAACTTATCATTGATATGTAAAAATCCTAAGCAGTTATTTTTGAAACCAATGGAAGCGAGCGAGGAAGTTGATAAAAACGTATTGTATATGTGTATTCACATGATTATCACATTAAACTTTTCTACATATTATCTAAACATTCTCTAGTAGATACTTTCGCAGAATAACATAACACTGACTCCTTTTTGATAAAATACATAGGGTTCTTCTTGTCTAAAAAATATCTTCGGAACGACTTTTTTTATCGAAACATAAAAATTATTATTTTCCGGTACTTGATGTATTCAAATATAGAAATTATATTTACGAACGAAGCAATTTTTGGAAACATGTATTTTGATACAATTATTGATATACTTTTATTTAAACGTAATCATTAACCAGTATAAGTTACACAGCCAACTAACAAAATGTAATGAAAACAAAGCGGATACTTTTAGTGTCATTCTCATCATGAAATGGCAGGAGATAATCAACAGACAACTTTCCCTGTATACAACAAGGAGTATTATAAAATCAATGCCTTCAAGTAAGTAAGTAGTATCTTTGTGACGAAGATAATAAAACCACAGAAGAAACTATCCGATTTCAAACTTCTGTTTCAACAATTGTGAAAACGTAGTGTATCAAAATGAGTTTTATGCTCAAAGAATAAGAACATCACTGAAAAAAAAACACTTTTTACATAGACATTATACCCGGGTAGGAATGAAGTATAGTTGATTAATAAACACATAAAAAACATATTGATACTTAATGTTATTGACCAATTTGATAAATCTCCCGAATAAACAAATTATGCATACGTGAAAGATTAGCAATAACAGATTGCGTCATCACAGAGCTACAAGGTTATGAATTTCATAAATCTTGAATGTAGACTAATTGATTTACACTTCACACTAGCTTTAATCACATGGTGCTTTCATCATATTCCATATGAACGAGAAGTATAAATCTTTAACCTACAACTCGTACTTATCGTGTTTTTGTTTCAGATTCGTATACTCAGTTTTTAGTCATACATTCTGTGTGAGGGTTACTAATCTTAAGTGAGTTTTCAAACCGATGTACATGGAGTATGGTTCGAAAATCCAACGCCATAATGGAAAATTGGACGCTTTGAACACCAAAAGTATCGAAAAGATTGATATTAGGCATCTTCGCTGTGCTCTACTACAGATTACTTGTTTCCGTTAGCAGAAATTACGGAAGAAAAAGATCAAATAACTACCTAATAGAAAGCGCATAAATCATGGCTAAGTGGAATAAATAACTTTTGTTATATCTTCATATCTATCATATTTTTCATTAACAAAACCTTAAAAATAACGATATAAATCATCCATTCAGTACTAGCAATCTTCAGAAATGTTCACTGAAAATAAGAAAAATTCATGATAGTGATGTTTAGTGTAGAGTGAGAGGATGAATTTAGGCCAATAAAAGATATGATATACTTTATTCATTATTTTTCTGTATATAAATGTTTTAATAATTCATAAAAATTAATGGTCATATTTTATTTTTACACTTACATAAATAACAGATACACCTTACCGCACTACTTAAATAAGTCGAAAGAAAAATGACTGAATTATCGTGTTTAAGAGACCACAGATAGAAAGTAAACCCATTCAAAATAAATAAACTTGTAATTCACTTACTAAAGTAGCTTCAAAATCAATTTTACTACGATTTGACAATTGAACATCTTGAACGTTAACAGCAGCATCGTTAGAAATGGTTGCTGTTTTATTAGATTCATCAGAACACGATTGTTTCAGTGTATCATTTGATTCGTTAGATATCAGTTGATTAATTAATTTTTGAATAGATTGTGTGTTGTATAAACAATCATCAATATATGTGCCACCTACAAAAAGAAATTAATACAGTGTATTAATAATAATAACAATAATTTTCCAAATGTTCTCGAGGTTTTATTGAATATAATTTACATCAAATGAATGTCTTTCAGTCTAATGTGTTATTCCTGAAGAGAAAATACCACTTCAAAAATCGAATCAACCTTATGCTCTGTATCATTTTGTAAAGATCACTAACACTAATTAAGTAAAAAAAATTGAAAGTGATCATCTAAGGTGTTCGATAATTTAAATTTAAGTATAACAAAAACAATGAAGATAGTAGAATGACATGAATACATTTTATTTCACGGTTTTTCATCAGCTGTCAAAACTTCTAAGCATAATAGTATTAATCATTAGGAATAGGCGTACATACTTTTATAATACTGACAAGGTCCTTATCAGTGAAGATTAATGAAAAGAGTAATAATTACAAAAGAACGATAAGAGATGGCCATTTTTTAAATAATGTGAATATTAATCGATTAAATATATAAATATTTCAGAACTAAAAAAAAACTAGCGAGACTATAATTTATGGATGAACCAATCAGATATAAGATACCAGGTCTTGGATTTTGGCGCGAAATTTATTCATCCATTTTGCTAAATAGCGTTTTGGCATTTTAGTTAGTGTCAGTTAATGATGAAAACTTTAAATCTAGTTCCTAACACTGATCATCAAGTGTAAATCATAATTCTAATTCTTTACAATGCTTTATAACCCGTAATAGGTGCTAGTGAGTAGGTGGACATTTTCAAGGTCACTTCAGTGTTGCTCAAAGGACGTCCATAAATTCTAGTCTCACCATTAATACGATTATGTTTGGAGGTTATGAGCTGATAAGAAAGTGCAAACAAAGAAGGATTCATGTTATTATGCTACGTATATAGTCCTTGCTTTACTCAAGTTTTTCAATGATAAAAATCATATGGAATTTTTAACAATATGTATTATTAAAAACATTTATAAAACTGGATAGAAACAAAATATTTTGCTATAAAAGATAGAAGCAAACAGATATCAAAAAGATGAATAGCAGCTGAAAAGGATTACCCAGGACAGAGTTCGATGGAGAATCCTGGTGGGCGGCCTATGATCCTCCATGAGGGTTAACAAGCAAATAAGTAAGTACAACAAGTAGATACAAAGTATGACTATTACGAATCTCCATTGTTCATTATGTGATCACAGAAACTGCCATATCTCAGGTTAAAATACTTAAAAGCTTTAAAGTTGATTTTATATTTGCTGGTAAAATTATAAAATTAAACAAAATATTACTAATTATTATTCAAGGGATGATTTATTCATGAAATTTATTATCTCTTTTCAACGAATTTATTATCAAGCTGTACAGTCGTATATATATGAATTTTTTTTGTTTTTTGTAAAAGTATGCTTGACGTTAACTCTTTGTTCACTAGCGTACCTTTAACCGAAATGACATGTTATATATGTGAGTATATTGATTCTAACAACATAGATCTAGGTTTGCCGACTGAACACTTGAAAGAACTATTGTTACGTTGTACTTTTAATGTCCAGTTCAGTTTCAGTAATGAAATATATAGAGAAAGAGATGGGATCGCAATGGGGTCTCCATTGGGTCCAATTTTAGCAGATTGTTTCATGGGAAAACTAGAAAACGCCCAACTAAGTTCAATGATCAATTGATTTCACCTATACGTAAGATACATGGACGACACGTTTGTCGTTTGTGACAATAATATTGATTTAGATGATATTTTACACACCTTTAACTCATACCACCCTTCCATGGATTTCACGTTAGAAAGGGAGCGTGACCAATCAATTCCTTTTCTCGATGTACATCTGATGAGGAGTAATGGTTCTTTAAAGAGATCCATCTTTAGAAAACAAACATGGAATGGCCGGATAACCAACTTCTATAGCTGGGTTCCGTTAAGTAGAAAGAGAAACCTCATCCATTCTTCATGTTATCGAATACATCAGATATGCAGTACGGAATGCATTAACGACGAACTCACATTCCTCAAAAAAAACCTTGACGAAAAATGGTTACCCAGAACGTTTCATCGAAAATAATATGAATAGAAGTAGTTGCGACAAGAAATCTAGTTGTTCCGTCCCGAAGAAAGACCTTTATATAAGTCTGGAATTTAAAGGTGATCGAACATCAGACTTAATCAGAAATCGTCTAACAAAAACGATTAGAAGAACATTTAACGCGGCTAAACTGCGAATAACCTTCACTAGTAGGGACTTATTTTCTGTATCCATAAAAGATAAGTTTCCGCGTCTGGTCGCCTCTATGTGCATCTATCAGTTCACCTGCTCTTGTGGAGCAAGGTACATCGGCCGTACCTAGCGCTCGCTTTCAACTCGGATACGGGAACATATCCCAGCTTGGTTCTATAGGGCTGAAAGGAAAGCAGTTAGGAGTTCTATACTTGAACACCTAATCGACTGTAACCATTCTACAGATCCACAATTTGATTTTAAGGGTGTTTATATGATTCGTTCAAATCTACCCAGATTTCTTTGTATCCAACTCTTAAAAATAGCCGAAGCTCTTACTATCCAGGAGCTTAAACCAGAACTATGCGTACAAAAGAAGTACGTCTTATCGTTACCTTGGCCTTAAGCATTTTGATTATCCAGTTATTATTATTATTATTACTGCATTCCCCCTTTACTTTTGTTTTATATTCTCATTGTTTTATTCGTGAATACTCATCATATCACCATATTTAGTTTTACACCTATACGACCTTTAATTATTATAACAAAAACATTTTAATCATCTTATTATATTCACTAAATATATTGTTATCATTCGTATTACGTAATCTAGTATTATAATCTTTCTATTACGTAATCTTGGTTGTGTTCACATTTCCTCACGGAATTAGTACTTTTTCATATATATATACGATTGCACAGCTTGATAATAAATTCGTTGAAAAGAGATCTCTTCGCTGAACTACGTGTTTTAATTTTAATGTTTAAATAAGAATTATCTGTCATTTTCATTATCAACTTATTAATCTTCACTAGCTAAAATAAATTATTACTATCGACGATGAAAAACGTATTAATTAACAAGTTTATTGTTTTACAGTTCAAGGATGATAAATCCTTGGTAGTGCATTTAAAATGCGATAAGGTTAATCGACTCAAGCAAGAAAAAACTGATTATAATCGTTATTGCAAAATATCTGTGTTTACATGTATAGATTGACAAGTTTTGCATGATAGTAGTTACAATTCATATATCATCTTTGTAGAAAAATTCATCGTAGCTTAGATAGATTACATTTGGCTGAATATATTTTAATCAGATAAAAAGTGCCGAGTATAATGAACTCTATAGGGTACAAAAATATTTTCTATGTAAAACAAAACAGTATTAAGTTGTAGATTGTTTCTTTGATCTTCTAATGCACAATTAGACAAGCCATATACTATGGTCTCCCTAAACACAAAAACTATATAATAACAATGTACAATATATTATTAACTTGTATTGATTTGATTTGCATGATATTATAAGTTTATTAAATCTAATCGAAATCCTTCTGTTTGTAAAAGCAAAATTATTAACAGACTAAATTACAACCACATGAATTCATCTAGTGGTTGAATATTTGTAAGTCTATGGTTTAGTAGTTAAAGATCAACTCCATTAAGTGACAGTAATGAAGTATATTCCGTACAACTACTATTGATCAAATAATTATACCAGGCAATACAACACAATAAGAAATCAAAATGTCGCCAACAATATATTTAGGCAAGTAACATGTTTAAACCAAACACTATAATTCAAAGTACGGATAAGAAGACAGAATTACAGAGAGATTGATATTTCTTTTACATTATTAAGAAAAAATTAGACGTACCAGCGAGATGACAAAATGAAATATATGCCAGTCGAGCGAGATCACAATCGAATGTTTCAATTAATTCAGTAAAAATATTAGTTAGATTTGACTTTTGTGCAATCTCTTCTACATTTGTTACTTGAGATGTTGCTGTGAACTGTAGTTCTGGATCATCAACACAACGTTGTTGACATTTATCATTATTATTACCAACAAATAAGCAATTGTCTAAAAAGAAAACATAATTTAGAACTAATTTTGGCTAAATAAAATGATCTGTTAAGTGTGAACAAAACTGAACACACGTAAATATTATTGAATTAGTTTTATGTAGATATATATGTAACTAGTTAAAATTTCTCATTTTACAGATATCACGTTTTTCCATAAAATTGGTATGGTAATTGGTAAATATAAACTACAATCCCCTTTCGTAAAACAACACTAAGGTATATATCAGCAATCATACACAGCTGGACCGATCAATCTATTCAAGAATTAAGAATAGTAATTGGAGACCTTGATTTTGGGTCCCAGCGTGAGATCTAATGCTACAACTCAATGAAAAAGACTGATATATTGATATATTGTCTGTATTGACGAAAAAATAGTTCGGGAGATTACAACAGACATTTCATCCAGCGATCGTTATATCTGATTGAAATGTAATTATGTTAATTTAATGAATTTATATTAGGAATTAACCACATCCTAAATATTAATTGATAAATAAGGAGTATTACTATAGGGGCTTTGCCAAAGTTGCCTACTTCATAGTTTACATTACAGATTAATATTAGTCAGACAATTACTGAAAATCATGAAGTAAGCGATAATTGTTTCATTCTAGTATGAATTATCTAGTCAGTGTCAGTCCGTGATATAAATTTTAAAATCCACTAATCTTTACAAACCATCTATAGTCATAATAATCATGTCCACAAAAGTGAGCAATTTTTAGGTGGTTTCCGGAGTTATATAATAAAGTTAAGACCGGTGGAATTCATTCATGTCAGGTGCGAGGCAGCTACTCACCAATGAAATTGGAAGGTAGTTGCAAAATATTAGGGATTGATTGAAGTTTGATGCCTAAACGTAGAATGTTGACTCAATGGTTAAAATATTAAACATTCGCTGCAGAGAGCTGAGTGTCCTAGAATCGATCGTAGGTAAGTTCATGTGTGTACTGCTGAGGATCAACATACTAATCAGTGATTTCTGGTTATCATCTGTTGTTTTACTGAGATCATTCCGCGATGTACACCATGAAATAAGGAATACGCACGTTAGATATAGACCACTTACCTTTTAAAATGCGTTTTGTAGCAGTAGTATTGATAACACGATCGAAAAGTGCGAAAAATACTTGAAATATTGATGTCAGTTGAGTACGTGTCAATTCAAAACCAACTCTTAAACCAATTATATAGACAACATTAATAAATTTATATAGAACAGCACGACGTCCAATAACACCGCCGGGAAAACTAATATCTAAACGACCAGACATTTGAACTGCTTTAATAAGAATGTCTTGTATAATGGATTCCTAAAAACACAGACGAAAAATAAAACATCTTTTTAAGAGCAGTTTACCTATTTACCATAACATTAAACTCTCAATTAAAGAAAAAAAGACAAGTTAAATAATGTGATGCAAGTACATCCGGCTGATAAGTCCCAAATAGGGTGAAAGGCACATGCTGAATTCCACTGCTGGTCACCAAGGATTTCTGTATATAATGCTTGTTAGTGAATGAGAATATCGAGGTGATTGGCACACAGTGTATATATGCCAAAAGAAACTGATTAATCGCAGTCCTACACATCAATAAGGAGAATTAAACAACCAATACAAGTGAATTAAGTAGTGAGAATCTCCATTTCATTTTCTACGACTAAAAGAGCTCCTTAACTTACAATCCATTTTTCGTGATCTCTTTTGTTTACTTTGAACAATTTCTTTCACATATCCAAATTATTCAATGCTCTTTTCATGGAAAATATGTGGCATTTACTAAATTAAAACTCATAGTGATTCATTTCTACCTACTTTTTACGATTCCTGTACTCGCTATCAGTTTGTATACTGATGGTACAACTTCGATATAGTTTTTGAATTCATTTGTTTGATAAAGTGTATATAATCAATACAAGTGTAGAGTAAAATGATATGATTTAGACCCATAGACGCCGCACACATTTCATTATTCCATATTCTTATCATTTTTTTTCCAAATCCTTAGTTCGAACTAACCTAGGAATCATATTTTCCAAAAATTTATATAAACCTGTAATTTGGCATGGACTCTGTACTCATTTAAGGAATATACTATTATTGTATTTGACATAGATGATCTTATTGTATATATGTATGTAATTTGATGATTTCATTTTAAATCACAAATAAGCTAACATGATTTAGGGTTTACTAGAAGATAAATACGCCTGTTATATGAATCTATTTGTGACTTTTCAGTTTTAATTCTACGTGTAATGTAATCTGAGAGAAATAATATCCGTTTTGAAAAATAAAACATTAGTTTACGACCAGAATGAGGTTTATTAAGTACATTAGTGGTTCGACTATATTGTACTTGTGACAAAGTTGTAAAAAGTGCACCTCCTTCACAGTCCACATAATCTTTGAAAATATACTGGTGTATGTTTATAAATGACGAAGGTTAGTATATCCGTACAGTGAGTACAATATGATTTTTGATTCTGAACAAACTAACATAAGTGGCATAAATATTCATCAAAATCTCAGAGTAAAAAAATACCTTAGAATTTTATAATAACACATACATACAAAACTTGCTTAACCGGTATATATCATGCGACAATATTGATAATAATATTTATCTTATAATTACAATCTAAATCATCTCTATGTATTACAACTAAGCAAGTTGAAACTTATTTATCCAATATGTCGTTTTACACATAAATGCAAACATTATATCGCATATTCTCTGTATCTTAATACACTACTTGCTACTAAAACAGCAGCAATCTACAAAAAAAAACGTATTTTTAATAGTTAAGATCATGAGTCAATCGAAATGTTAAACCACTATGGAAAACGTGGGAGTACTGGACGGTCGTTTCGTCTTATTGTGGGACTCCTAAACATTGCGCATGCACGATCCCACCTCGCGAGATTCGAGCCCAGAACCTATCGGTCTTGCGCGCGAACACTTAACCTTTAGACCACTGAGTCGGGATCTGACGGTGTTAGTCTCTAACTTCAACTAATCCACGAAACTGAGTGATACATCCACGATTGTCTTCATTGAGTTACTATCTCACAACAGACCCGGTCGAACTCCACTGATCACTGCTTCTCACTAGAACTCCAGGAAATACCTCTTGAAGCCATTTACTAGTGAGCATGTTTTTTAGATATGTATTTCTTGGAAAAAATAGCACTGATATTTAACTAAATTTAGGTTCTTTTTGTGAGATATAACAAATAGATAAAGGAGAAAACTATATAAAACAGTAAACATGTAACTAGTAAAGGTGTTGTGTTAAACAATATATCTTGATTACACTGTAATAAATTGAAATTTTAAACAAATTGAGATCAATACGCGACATGTAATGGTCAACCTAGTTAGATAAAAACCAAATAATTAAATACCCTTGTATACTTGTCTTGTACGACAATATATGTAGTTAAAAATAATACGATCAAAATATTTGATGTTATAGTACAGACTATATAAATAAATAGTAGTTAATATGGTGATTCATTCAAACAACTTGAATTAGTGTAACATCATACGTTCTGCTAATAAATTCTGTCTGTTTATTTTGTAAAAACAATATTTAATAGCTTTTCGAAAGAAACATAATTAAGTTAAATGTTGAACATCCTAATATAAGAACTCAGTACTTTTGTTTAAGCATAAAAAGTATCATTATTGGCATCAATCTACACTAAATGAATTTAATTAATCTGTAAATATAATGAGCAAACTAACTAAGTCTAAAGTGATAGTCTGTTGACAATGCTTGAAAACTGTTCTCTTTCTTTAATTTAACAAATTGAACACCCATTTTTTTTAGCAACATAGTGTACTACATTACATTCCCTCATATTGTTCCTTTTAATTACTGGTTAATTTACATTTATTTTTTGTTTTACAAGAAAAACGACCAAGTCTACTGTTGTAACGGGTGGATTGCAGGTTAGATGCGCAGCGTATTTATCGATCGATTACAGTGAAACATAAAACATGTAAGGACGACCTAGAATCCCGATTGGTCCCACTTCCCTGTCTAGCCCAGCCAGTTGAGTCTAGAACGCATGTCACAGCCTCTGAGTTATGAATCGTTATATTTCAAACATACTCTGTTTATATACCAACCAAACAGACCACATCGTACCATAAAAATAGAAAACAACATCTGTACAATATTTAACGCGTGAAATAAATAATGGCTAATAGGGAATGCCCATTTAGAGTCCAAGGACATCATTAGACTTAACATGATAATGATTGGTATATTCCTCAGCATCCCTAACATCTACAAATAGATGTGCTGTATAATAAGAATATTTTTTGCTGAAACATCAAAACACCCTCAGTAAACAAATTGAACTCCGTTATTTATAACATGCCATGTTACGTAAAAACTGAAGTTTTGTATCTTCTCATTTTGATAAAACCCTAATTGGAGCTTTATGACCATAATTAATATAGTACAAGCATTTGGTTAATAATATATGTTATGTCCCGACAAGAATAATGAATGGTCACTTTTAGGATCTAATGATGGACTAATACGAAGTGTATATTTCTATTGTATAGTTATTAAGTAACTAAACTATGCATATTCATATTCCTCTTATCATAAGCTTTATTTTGACCCATAAACTATTATTATACGTTTTACCATTCTTGAGTTATACTCAGCATATTAATTACTACCTCCCTTATTCACAGTCATATCTGGCTAATTCTTGTACAAATGTTGTTTCATATTTTATTGGTACGTTGTGGTCTGTTTGATTGGTATATAAAATCAGTATGTATGAAATATAATGATTCATATTGTAGAGGTTCAGATATGGTGTCCTGGACTTAACTGGCTGGGCTAGGCGGAAAGTAGGGCCAATCAGAACTCTAGGCTGCTTGCACGTGTTTTACGCATCCTTGGTTCGATTGATAAGTCACTGCCCTCTAATCGGCGGTCACAAGTTATAACATTATAATAGGTGTAAGACCGTGCACACTATATCTTCATCATCTTAAGCAGGATCATCTTAGTGAACTGTATATGTATAATTTTATGGGCTGATTAGATAATCACTTCTTTTTTTAAAACTTTTATCTTAATGTGAATGCAATTTAGAATATATGAGACAATGTAAATGGAGTAGAACTAATAAGTTTATTTAGTGTAAGTATTCAATGCTCAAACATCTCTCCTATAATGATTACACAGTAATTCCATGTAGGAATAAATGGATAATATTCTTAAAACTTACAGAATAGAACAAGTTACAGCATAGATAGTCGTACGAAAGATGAATTGTTTTTAATTTTCTTAATAACAAATTGTATGGTAATAATAGTTAAAGTTCTTGTTTAAATAGATAGTAAACATCACCAGTTAAGCTGGAAAAGTTTTCTCAAGAAATAAAAATCTCTTCTGATGATGTTAATAGAATAATGCTCAGTAATTGACTGACTAATGAATGTAGTCATCTTTTTCACTGACATCTTCAAAAAAGTATAAATTCTTTTTTCAAATGATTTTAAATATTTTCTTGGTTTAATACTTCTCGAACAGAAATTTACTCTGAATTAAGAATACACGTGTGATGTATAAGTTAGCATAACTTATCAATAGATATTTACAATCTTCAATGCTAATTCAAGAGAGTACATATTCATCTTTTAAAGAGTTCAATTTTCAATAATACCAATCACTAACGCAATTGTCCTGTTACTAAGAATCAGTATAGCATTAAAATTACAATGTATTATTAATATAAATACATAGTTAATATCTTACTTGTAATAATTCAACAAGTTCATTATCCGGTATATAGATAACAATTTGATACAATAAAGTAAGAACTCCAACGAGTCGTGCTAAATAATGATAATTAAAATTGAATAACATTGTCGATACATTTGCTTCATTACTTCTAACAGATTCCAATGGATTTATACAATGACTATTAGTTTGATTTAAATTATTAATATTTATACATTCTGATGATACAGGATTAAGATTAGTAATAATTGATGTGATTGTTTTTATAACATAAGGTAAATATATATCTATAACAATAGATACACCATAAATTTGTACTAACTGTACTAAACATCTTAAAACACTAAATGCTGAACGATCTCCAATTAATGGACGATTATTAATTTGTAAACATTTGTCAGATGAAATATTATTGACAATATTAACAGATAGTTGACTTTTACCCTAAATAAATTAGAAAAACGTAGAACAATGTTAAAATGACGGTGTATTTACATAGAAACATATAGGCAAATATATACACATATACAAACAGAAAGACAATTTGAGAACAAACTCAGCTATAAAGCAGAGTAGTGAAAAAGTATGAGTAATTATCATACTTTTAAGAAGCTATTTAAACAGAGATCTGACTTGATCAAAACGGTGCTTTTTTAACGAAAAAAGCTATAAATTCATTACTGGTTTTACCTTTGTCAATTGTGATTTACATATAAATTAAAATAAAAGTCGCTTGTCACTGGTTTTAACATCATTTCACTAATTAATAAATGTTAATAAACTTTAAGACAACTTTCTAAGTTAAAAATTCCGCTTCAGAATACCTTAGATAAAAAGTTAGAGAATGTAGTTTTTAGTAAAGGGTTATGGAAATTGCTGAATTTCATTTAAGTCGCGAAGATGGTCATGCAATGTCGTGAATTGATTCAAGTTAGATATTGCCACCGTTTGATCCCGACTCAGTGGTCTGGAGGTTTAAGCGTTCGTGGATGCGCACTACTGAGGAGTCATATTTTGGGAAAAACGCTGGTCCAGTGCTTCTAGGTTCTCATTGGTGGTCTAAATTAGAATGTTTCATGGCTTTATTAAAAGGAAATAGTCTCTGAAAAATTCACATCTTGTTAAAACAGGTATATGAACGAAGAATATTTTTTTCAATATGTTCTGTTCAGATTCTACAATTATATAATCAAACTAATAATCTAAAAGCCGGTCAGGTTTAAGGCTAAATACATTGTTTGACATTCGAAAAGGCTGGGAAGATAAATTTAATACCTGTAACAACATATCCATAGCTCAAATCACTACAAAAGAGTGCAAACATGAACAAAGATAACAATATGATAAATATAGTACGATATAAACAAAATATTTGGGATTACTAAATGAACCAGATAGGCAAGTCACTTATGAAAACTCTCCTCTCAAAGTACATGGTTTTTCTTACTAATCATAAATCCATTAATGTTAGACCATCATTGAAAACCTGGAAGCGCTGGACGGCCTTTTCGTCCTAGTACGGGACCCCTCAGCAGTGCGCACCCACGACCCCGCATGCTGGACTCGAACGCACGACCTTTGGTCCCACGGGCGAACGCATAACCTCTAGACTACTGGGCCGGCATCTAACGGTGTTGATGTCTAAATTCAACTAATCCACGATATTGAGCGACCATCTTCCATTGTCTTCGGTGGGTAACTGCCTCACACCCGACACGAATAAGCTCCAATGATTACATCTTTTCAATAGGAAAATTTACGATCTCAATCAAAACTCAACAATCTCCACAACCCAATACTGATAAATATCTATCTGCTGAAAATAATCTTTATAAGTACAAATTTAACAACATCTTTAACCTGTTATTGTAAAACGAAAAAAATTAATGAAAAGGTAAGAAAGTATTAAAAATCTGCTCACTTCATAGCACAATGTCAATGTAGTTAATAAATACTTAACAATATATTTAATCGTCATTACAGGACCAATACGTCTAGAAAGCCAATCAAGACTATCCATAGCTGCAGTGATTGGTGGAATGCTGCTTATATTAGAACAATTACTACTGCTATTACGATTATTAAAGGATGTTTTATTTGAAAATGAAACCTTCTTCGGTTCACCACAAACAGATTTATCTTCGGTTAAACTGTCATGTAACAATTGTGATACGTCACAATTATGCGTAATGGAACTACAAGAGGAAAAAAAGCGAGAGAGAAATTTTGATAGATGACAAATGCTAGATTAATTACATGAACATGTGTAAAACTGTGAAATGTCTTATTTTTCAAACACTACTTAGTATAAGTAAATTACTTGATGAGGTTGTACGTTAAGACATGTATTATGCAAGGACTGCCACTGTCTACCACAACAAAACTATTCTGGTTGTCAGAAGAGTTAGTTGAGAAAAGGTTAAGGTTGATATGAGTATGACCTAACATCAGCTGGTGAAATTGTTGGATTTTACTCTGAAAGATTTTTCAGAAGTACGGACGTTTGAGCATAATCATATACTGTGGTTGAGTACCTCAGGTAACATTTGTCGATCTTAATCACAGTAGCAAAGATGGGTCCATATTTTTAAGCCCACTTAAATCTTGGGTTTCAGTGCAAATTCATACTGTTCATCCTCTAATTTCACTCGTTCTTTACGAACTATTTTTCATTTTCACTTAGGTCTTTAAATGAAAAGCATGAGTAGTAGTCAAAAATTAAGAAATGTCCTTGTTAAACATTTATATATAGTACATAAATAGTATTAAATTAACTACTTAAAGAAACGTTGTTTCAGTTTAATCCCAACATTTATAAGAAAATTTCTTGAGACGACCAACTGGATGAGAGCTGTAAATAAATGACTTTCTTTCACCAACACGGATACTTCTGGTCGCCTTGAAAAAATTCATGTTCCCTTATAACTTTAGTTTATTTTCGATATTCACACATACTTTTCAGTCAGTCAGCTACAACGTAGGACCAGGCACATATATGCATCGGTCCAGGTTGCCATATCGCATCAGCACAACAAGATGAACACCGGATTCATAGCAGTGGTTAAGTCAAAGGTGGTAATATATAAGAGAAAGATTGCACATAGAGATATAGTACAAGAAGAAAGAATTGGTTCGTAGAAAGAAAGATATGAAGCGATTTTAATCTCTTAGTTTAAGGGAAGACAGAGAGTGTATACACCGACGCAATTGTGATCGATTCTGAGCCATGTCACAAAGTCTCCAACCATTGGTTACGATAGTCACGCGGACCCCAACTGAGTAGTCTGCATCTACCAACACGGCTCGGATTAGAAGTTAGTGACTTCAAGCACTGATGCCACGTTTTGGTTTGGCCGCCCCTAACTTTCTTCCAACCATTTCCAAAACCGGATAGCATTGCACGTCGTGGTAATCGGTGTTCAGGCGTACGTAACACGTGGCCCAACCATCTCAGTTGATGAAGATTCATAACCTCATCAGCTGATTTACCATCGTTCCCTAATACCCTACGTCTAACCTCACTATTACTTACCCGGTGATCGCAGCAAATGCCAGCAATATTTCTAAGGCATCTGTGGTCAAATACTAGTAGCTTACGAGTATCTTCTGCTCTTAATGCTCACGTTTCGTTACCGTAAATTAAAACAGAACGAACTGTCGCGCAGTATACTCGTCCCTTAATTGATAGGCGGATATCTCGCCTTCTCCATAGATGACGTAAGTTGGTAAAAGCAAGACGAGCCTTTCGAATCCGTTCTGAGATTTCGTCAGACACCAACCCATTAGGGCTGATCAGACTTCCAAGATAAGTGAAGTTGTCAACGCGTTCGACTACTTCACTCCCTATCGTTAGTTCAGGTGTTGACGCAGACCAGTCCTGAAGCAACAACTTGCATTTAGAGGGAGAGAAGCGCATGCCGAACATTCTGGCATTGTTGCTTAGTGCTACCAGAAGACTGCATTTTATTAGCGTCTTCACTAAACAGGACTCTGTCATCTGCGTATTCTAAGTTGATAAGTGGATCTCCTGGAAGAAGATCAATACCCGAGAATTCAGTCGACGAGAATGTTATTTCCATCAATAGGTCTATGGTGAAGTTAAACAAAAATGGAGAAAGTGGACAGCCTTGACGGATACCATTTGAGGTTGCAAAACCAGATGACGGTTCGCCATAAGCTCTGACTCGACTGGTAGTGTTCGAGTAAAGAGCCTTCACAAGGTTTATGTACTTCTGAGGTACGTCTTTCAATGATACACTAAGTGGTGTTTGAATAAACTAATGATACCTTTGTACTTGTTAAATGCTTGATTTCGAATTCCAAATACAATACATTCGTTTGTGCTTGTGTCTCACTTCTTAATTCAATTGCGTTATTTCTGGTACTCTTAGTTAGTGCTATAATTCAAATAATTCGAAACATTATACACTGCCACAGAATCTCGCGGTTTACCGAGTCAAATGCTGCTTTTAATTCAAGAAAGACCATCATTGTCGGACGTCGATAAGTATGCCTATGTTCTAGAGCCTGACGAATGGTGAATATGTGGTCGATGCAGCCACGACCAGGTCTGAAGCCAGCTTGATTCTCTCGTGTTTGCAGTTCACGAGTTTTAGTTAGGCGTTTGATAACTATCGGGGCTAGTATTTTAGATACTATATTAGTTAAACTAATCCCTCTATGGTTGTCGCAGGACTTTTACATGAAGTTAGTATTAACAGTTCGGTTTGGTTACTGTTTCAATATTGATTCATTTACTACCGACAAGAGTGTTTAACAATTTTATACCCCCTGAAAAGGGGAAATTCAACAATTTAGTTCATAAACCGTTTATGTTTTGTAAACTAGCATGTTATATATAGTGTAATAATATTCCAACTACTTTTTCAAGGGATAGATAACTAACCTCACCATACCTGCTACTTTGACTTGGCGGTCAAGATTACATAAAATGATGACCCAGTAGGGTTATATTGAGTGGAACGTTCATCCTTTTACTTCCCACCACTCTAGACAGGTCATTTGAAGAGCAGTAGGATTAAAAGCAGCAAACTAAGGTCCGAAGACAAAGTGGTATAATTGTCTGTACAGGGATGTGACGTCTTTAAGATTTACTTCAGAAAGCTGGCATCTGCAGTAATTCTGCATCATTACAACGGTGGAAAATAGTTAGAAAATGTCAACCTTAAAAATACCACACCTCAACATACTCCATGGATTTCTATTGATTGTGGTAAAGTATTAAAAGTACTAAGTCAACATATCAAGAACTAATTGGAAAAAGAATATGTGTAGTCAAGTTTAAACATTTGTCCCTTGGGTGCTGCAATTATGGTCACCACTTCTAAGTTAGCCTCCTTTTCAGGTACATTAAAGGAAGCATTTTTTAGTGATATGAATAACCGAAAAGTAACAACTACCATAACACCTATTACAGCACTTACGATAGGTAGTTATGGGTAATATGGCATGCAAATTGCTTACTTTGAGGAATGAAGAGAAATTGCTGATGTTACATCATTTGTACAACTGTTAAGCGATTTGCCACTAACATCACATTCTTCTTCATTGAACTTTACGCAAGTGAACATAGATAAACTTTTAGCATCTTCTAAGAATTGAAATTCTTCATCATTTATTAAACTCCGAAGATCAATTCCAATCTCATCTACATTCATAACATCTTGTTTATAAAACAATAAGTCGCAATGCGCTGATATATTTTCCTCTTGATCATATATTAAAGATTCATCATTTAATTCTAGATTGCGACTCAATGATTCAGGCGTGTTTTGGCTAGTATTTGAATTCTTAGAATCTATTTGTTCATTTGTAAGGCCAGCATAACTTCTTTGATGCCATACAATATTTTCATCAGATAAAGCGTTTATACTGCCGCCAATAAGACTAAGGGTTATATAAGGTAAAATATGTACAAGAAATGTGTTCACATTTAAATAAGCCAATAAACGACGTAGAAATAAACGTGAATATAATAAAGCAAGAGGAATTCTCGGGGAGATATCACTTGACATACGTTTAAGTTGTTCAGGTTTGTATAGATAGATAATTAGTGGGAGAAGATGTGATCGTATGAACTAAATAACAAAGAAAAATCAAGAATAACAGTAAAAGAATACAGTCGATTAACGATGTCAACGCACATATTTGATGAATGGTAGCTCCGTTTTCATTCAGCATTATAAATAGTTACCAATAAGAAAATGAAATTTTAAAAGTCGGGATAATTGAGGATGTGTAATATCACATTTAAATTAGAAAAACATGTACATGCTTTATTTAGATGGTTAATGATGCATGCAATTTACGAATAACAATACTGCAATTATTATCTTAAGTGAACGAAAATTAGCAGTAAAGAGCAGATTAAGCGCAAAATCTCATAACGATTAATTATTTTGAGTTGTGTAATCTATGACAATGCATAACAATATAATGGTTATACAACGTAAACATAGGGAGTTCCAATTAAATAAGGAACTTCGAGATTGAGAATCACATAAAACGCGAGTTTGTCAATAGGAACGCTAATTAGTAAAATCAACATCAGTAACACAAGCTTTATACTATGAATTTGCCCTATGTAGTTTGGCGGCCTTCTTGAGCATCTATGATACCTATTTTTCTACCATTCAGATATTTAAAAATCTTTTTGTTTGTTTTGACTTACCGATTATGTCTTAAAACTGTATAACCTACTCCCATGTGTACATAGAAAATTTACGATCTATCGCTTCATAAATTACAGAAAATGCAACCGCAGAGGTTGGTAATATATATTAATCAAATCTCTATTCTTCAACTGCTAGCTTCCAAATGCAGATCACAAATGGGCAAGACACACTCTTTGATTTCTATTAGGTCTTAACATATACCATAATTATGGTCTAAACGCAATTCGAAAAACCTGGTTAAATGATTTGCATGGAGATAGTTTAGTATCACTATATATTCATCGTCAGGATAGATCGAAAAATAAGGAAAGGTGCGGCTATGGTGTAGCTACGTTTATAAATTTGACCTAGTTTTAATCAAACTATACATATTTTAGGTCTTTAAAGGAATTCATCGACTGTTTATCCTTAATATACCATCCACTTGAACACATGAACAAGTGCATTTCTATTTATGTTGTCAACATTTACGTGAAACCAGACAGTACCTCATCTGAACTATCTGTTACAATTGATGAGTTCCCTGAATTTGCCACCCCTAGCTTCAGCGGTTTTCTTTTAATTGCATGTGGTGATTTCAGTCCGTGTGATTAAAGCTTTCTTCTATCTCTAAATCATCAGAGCCTAGTCGATTTCCCCACCAATTATAATGGGTCTCTAGTTTTAGGTTGCTAATAATGTAGAAATACATATGACTCGTAAATGTGTTTCATTGCACTATTCATATTATGCCTAAAGTATGTGGGAAGCTTGGAAAGAATGTATTTTTGCATCAGGCCAGAAAATTAAAATGTAGAATCTACTCAAATGAAAATACCCAAGATCTGAGAAAAATGTTTCCAATAACAAACTGGTATTTATTTAGAAATGACTGATGGAAAACACCGACGATGTTATCAACCGTTACCTTGAATTCTGCCTTTATGTTTTTTTGTCCAAGTGGAACGATGGAAAAACTATTGCTACTTTTAATTCAGTCTGGAGAAGCGCTCAGATCAATATTAGTTTTCTTGCTAATATGAAAGAAGTCTCATGGGTGTTGCTGCTGTCCTGCATCATAATGTAGTGTTTAGTTTGGAAAAGGATAAGAAGTACGTTCGATATGCATTTCCAGAATAAACTTCTGTCTTCAATTATATTCCATGACCTCTATAATTAAGCAACTTGGTCAGCGTTAACATCGAGAGCAAGATAAGCAAGCGGCAGTTGTATTAATTTTCTAAAAGAGAATACACTGTGCTTGTGGAAGGTATTCTATTTCTAGTGTATCACAAGGAGCTATTCTTTTATATTCCTTTTTCTTGTTTCCTTTCTGTATGACACTTTTGTTAGGTATGAGAATGGCCTTATTGTGTGTATGTCAGTTTCTTATGCTGTAAAGCCCTTTGAAATGAATAAGTTCTCAATGCTCATTAAAAAGTAATTTATTTTTAAAGGTCTCATACTTCAGCCTTCTAAATGCCAAACTGTCAACTTCAACTTGAGACATGAAAAGCACTTAATGACCTCGTTAGAACAACATAAATTTTGTAATGTAGGAAATTCCATAGTGGAAACTGTCATTTATCTTGATGTAAGTTTTTCTTGTGATCCCTCTTGGTATCTTCGTGTTTTATTAATACCAAAAAGCGTTTTACATCTGATATAATATAAAGAGGCCACATGTTTTGGTATTACTCGACATTTACTTTTACAATTCATAAATTTTTGTATGATGCCTATTATCCTTTACTGTTCCTCAATATTTTTTTCTGGGTTTTTGAGAAAATTTTGTGGAGAGTGATGAATAGAATTAATAGGATTTGTGGTGAATCTTTTGATGTCATTATGAATATGATTGTGGATAAACATTTTAAACCTTGTAAACTACTGGTAAATATTAATTTTATCAGATATTAACCATCCGCTCTATTCACATCGTTCTTCTAGTATATCTTTTGGCAGAACGATACGCAAACATGTTACAATTCATGTACGCAAACACAACACAAAATTTGTGCGATACTGTATTTAGCACATTTATCATGTAACGCACAGGTCGTGAAAGCTGACCTCATTATAAACCTATATTGTTGAACATGTTGTTAATTTACAGTTGTACAAATTTTTATTTGCTGATAAATATTTCATTTAATTTTATATAACTTAACTTCATATAATTTACTTACGTATTTCACGTATATATTTATGTATATATCTTTTTTGTAATAGAAATGTTAAGAGAAAATTGTTGAATTATTGTATGTTGGAAATTCCATATTGTACTAAACATATAATACTGAGTGGAGCTATTTTTATCATTATGTGGTTATTTGGAGCAGTAGCTCAGTGGTTAAGATGTTTGACTTCCAGCCACCGAGTCACAGGTTCACATTCCACTATACCTACCTTGATGCATGAAATTGGGTTGTATCATTAGCTGCGAAACAATGTTGCATGAAGCCAAATGCCCGAATACGTATCTCCATAAAATGAATAATATGTGGTCATTTGGTAATTAACGTGATATGAAAATATGGTAAGATATGAGAACCACTTACACCAAATACTTCAAGAATGTCGACTAACAGAATGTACATGTGACATGGAGTATGGTAAGGTCTTATGGAAGACTTGGTACAAAATATAAGTGGTTTAAGCTGTTATTAGCATGACAGCGAAATAAGGTGTAAATGATATAGATCACTCAAAATCATATATAATATGCCCTGATAAACTGAATACTATTCAAGTAATTTAATGCGAATTATCAGAAGAGACGATCAGTTGTTACATTGAAAGATATATCCATCAAAGTTTGTGAGATTCACAACAAAACTTAAAATATATATTCTCCTTGTTGATCAACAATGCTGAGAAATAAGTAGAATGACAATGAAAATGGATTATCAATGTGAGGAAAAAAACAGTAATACAATAAATGAAACTAATATGAATTGTAACTAAGGACTGAAACACAACTGTGAAACCATACAACTACAAGGAAAACTCACTTCAAGACCTCCTATTGTTGAAAACAGCTCTAACATTTTGGATGAATTTAAAATATTCACAAACCAATTAGGATTTGCATACACTGCTGATTGAATATATGGATATAGTAATCTGATTACATCAATTGGAATGTGAACAGTTGACAAATTTACCAGATTATACAATTCACTTTGATGATTACTAGGGAAAAATGCTGAGAGCAAGCATGTTTTTGGTATGTAGGGTGAGAACGATTGTAACTGTTGAAATGATTGGTTGGAATCGATATTAATTAGCTATATGATCCAATGTTTTGGAAAAAAATTAAGATACAATGAATATTATGAATGACACAAGTAATTAAATGTTGAAATTGAAATAAAGCTATGTATGAATGAACTAAATGCTTATCAAAACATACTTAAAGTAAAATTTACGAGGAAAAATACACTGATATAAACCATTTAATTTCAGTTTGCATTACAAGTTAATGATTCAATCAGGAAAATCACTCTATAAATAACCCATGAATAGATGGTTGAAGAATTGATAAGATTCTAAAAAATATCAGTAAAGGATCGAGGTTATCGCTAAAGTTATATATCATCTGATTGTAAATTTTGATCGCCCAATTCCATCATACAAGATCAGTACTTTGGAAACGATTACATTTTGAAACGTAGGTGTGTTTTATGCTTTTATTTTGAGCGATAATGCTTCATAATCGTAAAGCAGGATACAAGAAATTCTTTAGTAAGTTACTCGGTATTCCACTTCAAATAGTTGGCCAGTAACAAAGGAGGTGAAAATCGACATAAAAAACAAATGACCATTTTTAAAATAGTTGCTCAGATTATATCAGTTATCAGCTAACTACAGTTTATGCAATTATGAAAGTCTTTGTCTTCAGAACAGGTATTGGTGCATAACTTTTCAAATGTGAAAGATAAAAACACATTTCATACATTCTCATATTATCTTACTTCTACCATTTAAAAGATAATGCAGCCAGTATGTACTAAAACAATTAAAGAACCTATGAATGGATCGATTTCTAACACATTAAAATAAGAAAATATTACCTTTATAATCATATAGTTGTGTTGAAAGTACAATAATATCAATAAACGGATTATACCGAGTGACATAATATCCTTGAAAAATGTCACAAGAGAAATCTTCAAAAACTTACCCAATCTCGAATATATAATAAATCGAAAATATAAGGTGGAAATTCACATATTAAATGAAGAAAAATATCTACAGTTGGTAAAAAACGTTCATCAAATTGTTCTCCAATAAGATTTTGATCAAATGGATGTAAAACAGAATTGACAGCATCATGAAGACAACTATAGGAATAGATAAAAAAACATTAGATAATAATCAGACATAAGATTATTCATTAAAGATAAAATTTAGTAAAAAAGTCTTTTATGTAAGTACGTATAGAGTCATTCTAGTAATAAGTATAATTTATTATTAAATGAAAGTTTATACATTTTAAATACTATTTATAAGTAGTCACTTAATCACAATACATTTTATTCTATACGGAGATTTTGGTTAATAAAAGTAAGTTACATAGACATAAGTATTTATTCATGCACTTACAAAGATGTATCAAATCAAATAAATACGTATAACAAAAAGAATAAAGATTGAAGTGGTAATAAAACCCAGTGACAAAATACGTTCTTTCACTAGGTTTCAATGTGAATTTATGGTAAGAGGGTTGGAAATAATAATGAACTGATCAAACGTAAGTTTTAATCAATATAATATAAAATAGTCGGTAGAGTATGGATTAAGAAATATGGTATACAAAATGAAATGATAATATTATGAAATAATAAGGAAAATAATACTCAAAGAAAGACAAACAAACACCATGAAAGGATGACGTTCAAACAAAAAGTATGGTCCAAATTGATTTCATCTATCTCAAACGTGCATCTTATTGTTTATGAAGAACAGTATAAAAATAAAACAGGATTACAGTTGACTTTGATTTACCATGAACCATAATAACATTTCAAATCATAAGGTTGAGAAATCTCTAGTACTATACCCAGGATGTTGAATAAAGGTAAAATTATGATCAGGATTACCAGTATTGACCTCAAATGTAAAGGTGTAATTCAGGGAGCTTTTTGTTATCATAAGGCAGAATAATATGGTCCTCACAATTCAGGTTTACAAGTCATCAGTCAAATAGAAATAAACATTGAAGAGCGGTCCTAGATTATGACGAATCAATATTACGATATTGGAGTTGCTTCATAGATTAAACAAACTGCTTTTAGGTACAGAATTAGTTATAGAAACTGAAAGGCTTAGCAACAATGGTTGGCATCATCGACCCAAATCAGGCCAAGGACACCACAATGCAATCTTACGTGACGATATATGCTACAGCTGTCTCATACTGTATGTCTATCTAAAAGCTATGGCTTATACATACAATAAACAATGTCTTACAACTTCCTAATGAGTACTGAGGCTAATAACATTTGTAACTTCTATTAAAAATATGCTAAACTTCACTGAATTCTAAATGAATATGCTCCAATTTAACTACTCCTATTAGAACACACAGATGCCTGACCGAAGAATATCCTTTTCAGAACATTCTTAGGCCAGGTCTTACAATTACGAGTTCATATCACTGATCAAGTGAAATGATTTTAAACAACTAGAATTATTTAAAATACAAAATACAAATTCAGGATCATAGGTAAAATAAGTTTGTCAACGCTTCAAACTAACCACCACTTGATGATTACTTGGATCAGGGTAACAAATCAAACGAATATTGTGAGATTAATAATCCGAATAGATGTGGATAGAGTATGGTGAGAGAAATTATAACATAAACAGTTTCGTCAAATATTTGGTCATATATTATGTCATACACGAAATGATATGAATTAGATAGGAGATAGCAAATATGGAGTATTAGGTAAATTTTTTTAATTATATGTAAATTTAAGAACCATATATTAACAAAGACACAGCCAATAAGCCATATCTTTAAGATGAGGATCAATGTTATGGAATAGGTAATTAATTTAGACATGAAAAACCTGAAACCTAAAAACAATCAATCAAGCCCCATTAATACTAACAAACTCAGTCAAAATATTTCTTAAACAAACTTAAAAAGAATAGTTTAACAAAATAATGAATTACTTTGGTATTTTATCCCAATGTAAACGTGCTTGCAAACGTGCAAAATTAACACGTTCCCCATGACTCCATTTATTAACTTCAACATAATTGACTATTGAAAATAAACTTAATTCAACAATGAGACAAGCCAATGATTCGAGATCAATTTTGAATAAATTGTCAAAATCATTATCATAAGTATTCAGCTTTGATGATTGAGTCTGAAAAATTTACAACAGATTATGAAAACATCGGTGAATACAAACACAACTATACGGATACTTTATTCTATCGTAAATATACAAATTTAATTACTTACAAAAATCATAGTTGTGTATAAGCATAAATAAAACGTAAATATACAAATTTAATTACTTACAAAAATCATAGTTGTGTATAAGCATAAATAAAACGTTCTGACATGATGTTTTGACGTTAGTTATAAATAATGTATGATTGTGCACAAAGTGGGCATGGGGTTAACTTGTCACAATTTAAATAAAAACAGTAGGATAAAAAACAAAGCGATCAAAATAATAACATCAATGGTGGTGAGAAATTAAATACAAGATAGTTCGAAAAAACCGAACTAAATCAGAGTGTATGAATAATGTGGAGTAATAATACTGAAACATTTAATTTATTGGGTCAAAAAGAATGAGTAGATCTGTTCCACTGTAATTAATACTGATCTATGTTACGAAGAATCTGTAACCATAAATAGCAATTGTCTGTAGGACCCAAACTCGATAGCATGGACCTTTTAACAGCAGTCAGACTAACATTCAGTGATGTCACAAACATATAGTAGTAGTACAATTGAATTTTTATCTTATCAGAAGAAGGAAAATCTACTGATATTTCATTATTCAATAACTCGTATCTAAAGTATGATCACTCTATGGCATAGTATTCGGTCATTTATTTTTCAATTCTTTGGTAAATTCAAGAAATTTATCTGAGAAATGACACTTTGTACTTTAAAAGTACGACAAATAGTCGGAGTTAACTGAAAAAGAGCATTCTGTTCTGTTCATATTTTTAAGTATGTTTTCTATGTCTCACATAATGACTGAGTTAAGCATCAGGGTTAGTTAGCTTATTTTCGATTGTTCTTCGAGGCAGAAATCACTTTTTCTTTATGAGGACTTGATCGAAACCTACGAAACAATAGTTATACGAATGTACAGCTTAAGTAAATGATTTCGTCGAAAAGAAAAATTTTCTTCGCTGAATTCTCGTTTCCTTATTCGATGACACTATGGGTTATTTTAATTAACAACAGTTTCTATAGAATTTCCTTTTTGTTAACTAAAGCAACATATACTTGTTACTAAAGCCTCATAGAATAGTTGTTATTCATTGAAGAATTTTTGTCGAATACTATCTAACTATTCTATGTTCACATTCCAAGGCATATTCTAACTGTCCTACGAAGAAATAATCCTGACTAAACGTTCTTGCTGCACAGACGAAACAGGAGCTATTGAGTGACAAAAATGATTTAATTCAAAAAGAACGCCTTAAAGTGTATTATATCATGAGATTAAGTCGTATTCAATTTTGGCAAGATACTTAAGTCGCAGAAATTCACTCTTATTTTAATAAATAATGTTCATATGTGAATTTTACATCTGAATGTAATGAATCATGATAATTAAACATCTTGTTTCTATGGTTTCTAGGTTCCTTCAATAGTTAATTTTTACAATGATGTTGATATGATAAAATATGGGTTTTCCTAGTTTACAACTTAAAATTATAACTCAACATTTGATATTTTTGATTTAGACTTTTGCTTAGAAAAACAGAACCTACCAATTTCTCAACTGGCTTTGTACATTGATTTAACTTGCTAAACTAAACATACAATTTAAGGTTTAGAAAATTTTGCTTCCAAAAATTGTCTCCAACAAAAACTAAGATCAAAATTAACTTAAAATGTTCATTTCTGAATAATTTTAGAAACAATGTTCTCAAAATGAAGATTGAAGTGAGTCCGTCCCGGATTTTGAACGCGTGTATTACATTATATCACAAATGAAATTAAATCATTATTTTATGTTGAAAATATTTTTAACAATCCAGTTGATTTAATTGAACTTCTGTTAATTTAACCAGGCCTATATAAAATACCTATTATGGCGAAGTAATTTTTTGCGATTAGGTAGCTCCTTTTCTGTCAGCACAATAGCTCATGGTAAGAGTGGAAAATGTTTATACGAAAAAGAACCAATTTATAAAAATTCAATGAATGTGTTTATAGAAAAACTAACAGAGGAACATGAAGATGAACTTTTGACAAACACTGGTAAAACAGATTATAAATTACAGGTGATTTCAATTTTTGAATTTACTTGTTACAATCTATTAAAAAGAAACAACATCTTTCAAATGAACTACACAACCAGTGTGTGAACTAAATTGATAGTATTACTCTGCATCTTAGAAAGAGGAGTGGCTCTCTAAGAAACCCGCGTGCTTTGATTTGGGCACCCGGATAGTATCCTAGCCCATACACATATCAAATTATTTGTGTGGTGCATGTATATTTTGGTCATTCTATGTACCAATTTTTGTGTTTAAATAAATAATAACATTTTGTCCATATATCAATTACAATATTAATAAATTATAATCTATGCGAACGGAACAAGATGGATGTTAAGCGGAAAAAAACACGGCATTATTTATTTACTGTGAATTCATTAGGGATGTTATTTTATGCAAATCAATTATTCATTTGAAACAACAGAACAAAGGTAAATAAAGCTGAAACTATTACTAATGAGCTATTTTAACTCACAAGTTCTAGACCATTTAAATCTTGTATATGTGTTTCAATGTACAGAAATTTGCACAGATTTTGATGCATATTAATTAATTCTAACGGATCATAATCATCAGGAAGCCATATTCTATTTCTAAAAAAAGACATAGACCGAAAAACAGTGATTAAATGAGAGCTATTACTTTCAAACTACTTATTTATTTGAACACATAAATATTGGTACAAAGGGGCACCAGATATATATGCGCCACACAATAACAATGAGAATTTGAAGAGATAAAGAATGTAAAGTGCGTATAATAAAAGGACAACAACAACGACGAACAGAAATTAATGTATGAGAGTGGAATATATAATATTGGGAGAAACAGTTCAGTTCGCAAAAGTACAACCAGAAAGAATTCTTCCAGTTAAAGAAGTTATGTTCATTTTTTATGAAGAAAGTAAAATAAAGTTACAGCAGGGTCCCCACTGGCTCATATTCTAAGAAATATCTGATAACGTCTCTAGTCACTGTGTTGCACAATCTCTAGGACTCCAACCAGGGAGTCGTGAACGACCAACAGAAACCAGTCCTGTGCGGCTTTGTTTCATACACTGACCACCTCTCCGTTTTTTCCAACCAGTCTCAGAGCCGGCAAATAATACACGACGTAGAATTCTCTGGGACAACATTCGTAGAACGTGTCCAAGCCACCGAAGTCGATGTTTCAAGATAGTGCCACCAACTGAATTATCGTCTCTGTGCCCGAGCACACGATGCCGAACCTCTGCATTACTGACATGGTGTTGCCATTGGATGTCAGCAATCCTTCGGAGACAAAGATGGTCAAACACAGAGAGTCGTCTAACGTCCTCAACTCGGAGAGGTCAGGTTTCACAACCATAGACCAGAACTGCTCTCCCTGACGCGTTGTAGATCCGAGCTTTCACAGCCAGAATAACATCACGGAAGCGCCAAAGATGGCCCAGATTGGCATAAGCCGCTCTGACTTTCACTATACATGCATTGATCTCATCACTCACGCCACCACCAGCACTTCTGCAGCTACCTAGATACACGAACTTCTCAACTACTTCTATCTGCTCACCATCCAGGGTGAGTACAGGATTAGAATCCTGCCAGTCTTGTAGAAGTACTTTGCACTTCAAAGGTGCAAAGCACATACCGTACCTACGGGTACTGATTGCCAACTGATTAAATTCGGATTGCATGGCTTGGGCATTATCGCACATTAAGACAATATCATTCGCATACTCAAGGTCGAGAAGATTTTTCCAAGCTAGCAGATTCACACCACCATTACTAACATCCATCACATCTGTTTTCAGAACGTCATCGATAGCAAAGATGAAGAAGAATGGTGAGACTACGCAACCTAGCCTGATCCTCAATGTTGAATAGAACAATGGAGAGAGGAAGTTGTATGCCCTCACTCTGTCTGAACTGTTTGCATATAGGGCTTTTTAGATGTTAATTAATTTCTCAGGCACACACTTCTTCGATAGACAATCCCAGAGAACAGTCCTATCCAACGAATCGAAGGCAGCCCTAATGTCAAGAAACACTACGATTGTTGGCCTGTAATAAGTATGACAGTGTTCTGGATTTCGTTTAGATAGAACAGGTTTTCCACCATAGGCGAGCTGCTGTATAAGTTGAAAAATAAGGATACACCAAGTGAGAATAGAAGAGAATAGATAAGTGACGTAGTATATAAGGTAATAATAAAAATAAACATGAATGTCTTCAAATGGATGTTAGTTGCCTGAATTTTAATTGGAGAGAGAACAGTATTTCCAGTCATTAGTGTCATTTTATTTTATTTGTGTGTGGGTTGTAATACTGCATGAGTGCCCAAACCGGAGCAGGTGGTTTTCTTAGGTGGTCACTCCCAGAGCCTTCGACGTAAAGGTCTAATCCACAAAGCAGTGGTACAACGTAAGGAGATGCAGTCTCACGGTAGCCGGTGACCAACAATAGGTTCATACGCCATTTGTTCCTTCAGAATGCTGGAGCTCATGTGCACCATTAGTTTGGGATAAGGGTTTTCCAACTCCCCTAGATGGACCCTCCATATCCAACAACCCGGTTAAAGCGCCGGACATTCGCTTTTCGTCCTCCCAATTTCGTAAACAACAATCCGGCCGAGAGAAGGCATTGAGTAGAACTTCCTTGACAGTGGCTGTTTACGCGTGGCCATGTGAGAACATTTCGACAGGGAGAGTTGACTCTCCCCACCGTCAGCCGTACCAGAGCATTGAGGGGCTTCTTCCAAAGTTACATCATCTAAACAAGTCATATTCCAGTCCTGCTGGTAACAGATTATGAACTGAAAGTCAATATTTCTCAATCATTGTGTTAGTAGTTAGACAATCTTAATTTATAAATAAATTTTTAATTTATTTGTAGCTAAATTCAGCTCAGATATGATAGTTAACGTAACTTCTTCATTTCTTACTTAAAACTCTTATTGACTTAAAATATGTACATGATAGTACTGCACGGCAAAAACGCTGGAAAGTCTTTTCAAAGCATTGAGCAGTAATGCAAGAAAGTTCGAAAGTGATATTTCGCTTCATTAATAGTCTATACCAATGGCTAAGCTGATCACACAAAATAAAGCAATTGGCAAAATGGCCACATCAACCATAGAAGAGTTGGACTATCCATAGTAACTAAGTGGCTAGCGAAATTTTGGAGCAGATGCGAAAAGCTGGTTTAATTTATTGGAAGGCTAGTGCAGGTAGAATCTCCGTATACCTATTCCAAATGCGAGTATACTGTATAATAATTCGCTCAATATTATTTCAGGCCACAAAATATGAGTTTTAATGATAGAGGACGTGTGTAGGTCGTTAATAGTTTGGTCATAGAGCCTAAATATGGGGAAGAATAGAATAAGTAGTACTGCTATTAAGCGTAGCGAACATTGCAAAGATGGTAAGGTAGACAATGAAAATCTCTGAGCACTGAGGTAGTTGGGACATGTTTTACACATTCCTGACCACTGCTTTAACCAATGCCCAAAGCTAGCCAGCAGAAAAAATCTTCAGCTGATGGCACACGTAAACATAACATCCACTCAATAAGTGACTGAATTCGGGATTCAGACCCACTGAATTGTCAGAGTGTACAGTTGTGAATTTGAAGTCATATGGCTCCACATTGGTTGCAGTGGAGCAAACGTACTTATTCGAAACGTTCCTCTGAAAGTTGATTTCCAATATAACTCTAGATTTATTATCTTCTGACTCATTCCGAACTATACTTATATTTAGTTTTCCACTAGCACCAGTATTATCATCTCAACTACTTAAATTTCTACTTCGTTAACTTTATCTTACTATAGTGGATTAAGGTGTGATAACTTGGACCCAAATACACTTATAAGAGTAGGAATTTCATTTGTGACTGATTGATACGACTTTTATATAGTATTATGTCGAGAGTAAAGTAAATATTATATATTTATCTGGTATTACTCTATATCACTCACAGTGACAAGCTACAATATGAACAGTGGATGAAAATAAATAACTGATGTTAGAGTATATCATATTCACAAAAGAATCCAAACAAAAGAGGATACAAACAATACATAAAATAAATTCTATAAACAAGATTGATTTTAACTAGTTAAATCAAATAAATTTCAGAGTAACGCAACTTCTCTAATCAACTAAGAGACCTCAGTGTACAACTCTGAAAATTGTCTACAAAACTAGTTAATTATATATAGTCAAATACCATGAATCGAGGCATTGAAATATCATCCACTTAGCATTCAATAATTAAAAACAGAATAGAAAATAAAGTGCCTGTAACTCATTTGAGTAAATATTTTACACTGATAATCAAATATTCGATGAATATTGTACAAAAGAATGAACAACTTACTTGAAACATAGATCTCTATCGCCTGTCGGCATATTTATAGTATGATTAACCTTTGGGAGAAAAATATACATTGTAAAATCATGAATAAACATACATACACACTTGAGATCTTTTTGACATATTCAGTTGTTATATATAAGTTTCCCTGTGATTGATGAATATAAACGGAATGATTGATTATGTGAAATTCTCAACATACAAACCTGACTACAAGATATTGAGATTATTAACAACTATATACTACTGAACTATTGTTTTAAAAATTATCTCACACATAAAATATCAAAGTAGGTACGATAAACTATAACTAATGAAAGACATCATACCTTAGAACTAGAAATCGACTTCGCTAGAGTATGATTGTTTTTTCTCCAAGACACTTCATTTGGAGAGTTATTTGCATGCATTTTCATACCGACTGAATTGTGTTTAGAAGTTGGAGGATTTACATCCAATTGAAATATATCTGGTAGTGTCGCACCAAAATATCTTGATAATTTTTTACTACAAATTCTTTGAGGATGTGGTGTACGAAATAAACATACGACACCAGTACAACGTAAAGCAGTTTGATCACCTGACAATTCTAGATGAACATTTTTAGCATTCACTGCAGCTGAACCAAATAACTACAATCATAAAAAAGTAATTAAAATGTATTCCATTTAAGGAAGAAAGAATTCATTTATTCATAATCAAAAGTGAAAATTTAGAGTAAGAACAAAATTAGTTTGTGTTGAAGAACTTGTCAGTGAAATATATATCTATCAACTTGCTACTGTTTCTTCTCAAATTAAACTTATGTGAAGAACTTAGTGAAGTAACGCACCTAACAATATCACTTGGAGATTATTAATCAATGAAAATTTTGTGAAACTATCTAGGCTAAAACTAAATATACAAACACTATATCAATGCATAATAGGCGTCGGTTCGAGTAATAATAATTTATACAAATTTTCAATCACTTACTTTGTATCCAAAGTTTAGATCGATCCAGTGGTGCAAATTACTAGATACTTCATCACTTTCCAGAAGTTTAGAGTGATATTTAATAAACTCTTCAGGAGAAGAACACCAAGACGGCAGGCCAAGGTCAGCCATATCGGGGTGAATAGAAGAGAAAACTGACGGATCTGTGAAAAACTCCGGGATGCATTCGTCTGGAGTAGATTCATATAATCGTGCAATAGTCGTTGGAAATTCTTGAGGTTGATAAACAGGACGTACAAACTGTGTCAACAAGGACAAGGGAGTTTTTCTAGCCTATTATATATTATACGTATATAAGCATAAAAATGGAAATAAAAAGTAAATGAACATGTTCAAGGCCGTAAGATACGTATTAAAGAACTAATCATCAGTCATATATATTATTCACTACATAAAATAAGTAAGAAACGAGATTTCTACTGGCACAGTAACAAGATTATCAAGTCATTGGCAGCGGAATCGTTAGCTTAAGTCTTACTTACTTACTTACTTACTTACGCCTGTTACTCCCAATGGAGCATAGGCCGCCAACCAGCATTCTCCAGCCCACTCTGTCCTGGGCCTTCTTTTCTAGTTCCATCCAATTCTTGTTCATTTTTCTCATGTCTATCTCCAGTTCTCGGCGTAATGTGTTCTTTGGTCTTCCTCTTTTCCTTTGACCTTCAGGATTCCATGTGAGGGCTTGTCTTGTGACGCAGTTCGGTGCTTTCCTCAATGTGTGTCCTATCCACTTCCAGCGCTTCTTCCTGATTTCTTCCTCCACTGGGATCTGGTTTGTTCTCTCCCATAGTACGTTGTTGCTAATAGTGTCCGGCCAGTGGATCTGAAGTATTTTGCGTAGACAACTGTTAATAAACACCTGTATTTTCTGGATGATGGCTTTCGTAGTTCTCCAGGTTTCTGCCCCATACAGTAGAACTGTCTTGACATTTGTATTGAAAATGCTGACCTTGGTGTTGGTTGACAGTTGCTTTGAGCTCCAGATGTTCTTCAGTTGTAAATATGCTGCTCTTGCTTTGCCGATCCGCGCCTTCACATCTGCATCAGATCCACCCTGTTCATCAATGATGCTGCCCAAATATGTAAAGGTTTTTACATCTTCCAAATCTTCTCCGTCAATTGTGATTGGATTGGTGCATGCTGTGTTGTATCGGAGAATCCTGCTTTTCCGTTTTGTATATTGAGACCTACTGCTGCTGAGGCTGCTGCCACACTATTCGTCTTCTCCTGCATCTGTTGTTGTGTTTGGGATAGAAGGGCCAGATCGTCTGCGAAGTCTAGGTCATCCAACTGCATCTTAGATGTCCATTGTATCCCGCGCTTTCCTTCAGACGTTGACGTCTTCATGATCCAGTCGATCACCAGGAGAAAGAGAAAGGGTGAGAGTAAGCAACCTTGCCTAACACCGGTCTTTACTTCGAACGACTTTGTCAACTGTCCTGCATGCACGATTTTGCAGTGTAATCCATCATATGAGTTCTGTATGATATTGACTATCTTCTGAGGCACGCCGTAGTGTCGAAGAAGTTTCCATAGTGTTGTTCTGTCCACGCTGTCAAATGCCTTTTCGTAGTCAATGAAGTTGATGTAGAGTGATGAATTCCATTCAATTGATTGTTCCACAATGATCCGTAGAGTTGCGATTTGGTCTGTACACGATCTATCCTTACGGAATCCTGCCTGTTGGTCTCGAAGTTGGGCGTCTACGCAGTCCTTCATGCTGTTTAACAATACTCTGTTGAATACTTTTCCCGGTATTAAGAGAAGAGTGATGCCCCTGTAGTTATCACAGTTGCTGAGATCGCCTTTCTTCGGTATTTTGATCAGAAGTCCTTCTTTCCAGTTTGTTGGTACTTGTTCCTCATCCCAAATCTTATTGAAGAGAATGTGGAGTATCCTTGCAGTTGCCGCTACGTCTGCTTTTAGTGCCTCTGCTGGGATGTTGTCCGGTCCTGCTGCTTTGCCACTCTTGATTTGTCTGATGGCCATGCTGATTTCTTCAACTATTGGTGGGCCAACATCTATTTGGTGGTCCGTGGGTGCTGCTTCGATGTTGGGTGGGTTCAGTGGCGCTGGTCGATTCAAGAGTTCTTTGAAGTGTTCTATCCACCTGTTTTGTTGCTCTTCAATGTTGGTGATTACCTCGCCTTCCTTGCTTTTCACTGGTCGTTCTGGTTTGCGGCGATTTCCAGAGAGTTTCTTTGTTATGTCATACAGTTGTCTCATGTTTCCTTCTCTTGCAGCCTTTTCCGCCGTCATTGCTAAATCTTCCACATATTTACGTTTATCGGTTCTGATGCTCCTCTTCACTTGCTTGTTTGCTTCTGTGTATTCAGCTTGTGCCTTGGCTTTTTCTGCTCTTGTTCGACTGGTATTGATTGCTGCCTTCTTGTTTCTTCTTTCTTGAATCTTATCCAGTGTATCAACACTGATCCATTCCTTGTGGTTGTGCTTCTTGTGATCCAGGACCTCATGACATGTTGAAGTGATTGCTTCGTTGACCCCCTTCCAGTTGCTCTCCATAGTAGTTCCTTCTCCATTGAGTAGATCATGAAAGGCCTGGAACTTGTTGCTGAGGACTATCTTGAATTTGTTGAGTTTGTCAGTATCCGGAAGAAAGGCCGTATTGAACTTTTGTGATATTGTCCGCCCCGTTGTCCAGTGTTTCTTGAGTTTCAACTTCATCTTGGCGACCAGCAAGTGATGATCTGATGCTATATCAGCTCCTCTCTTGGTTCTCACGTCCTCTATAGTCCTCCTGAACGTTTTGTTGATGCAAATATGGTCGATTTGGTTTTGCGTGGTGTGATCCGGTGAAGTCCATGTGGTTTTGTGTATGCGTTTATGTGGGAATACGGTGCCGCCTATGACCAGTTTATTGAAGGCACATAGATTTGCAAATCTCTCACCATTTTCGTTCCGTTCTCCTAGCCCATGATGTCTTCATACTCCGTGTTGTCCATTCCAACCTTGGCATTGAAATCTCCCATCAGAATGGTCAGGTCCTTTGTTGGGCACTTCTCGACGATTGACTGCAGCCTATTGTAGAATTGATCTTTAGCGTCTTCATTGTAGTCGTTGGTAGGCGCATAGCATTGGATGATGTTCATTGAAATGCCCTCTTTCTTTGTTTTAAACGAGGCTTTGATGATCCTTGGTCCATGAGATTCCCATCCTATAAGTGCATTTTGCGCTTGTTTGGACAGCATCAATGCAACTCCTTGTGTATGTGGTGCATTTTCTTCTTCATGGCCGGAGTATAACAGGAGCTCTCCTGTAGTTAGTCGTTGTTGTCCAACTTGTGTCCAATGTGTTTCACTGATCCCAAGTACCTCTAGGTTGTAACTCCTCATTTCTGCAGCAATTTGGAAGGCTCTCCCGGTGTCCCACATTGTACGAACATCCCATGTACCTGAATAAATGGTCGCTCTGGTTGTCAGAAGGGGCATCGGCCTCGTAACTTCCGAAGGAATTCGGCTTTCATCATGAGGCGTCATAGTTCTTCTAAAAGAAGACCTTCTGACTCCCAGGGCAGAGTTTAGAAGGTTTGAATATTTTTTTCTGGTTAGCGTTTTTTTAGCGAGTTAGTTTTATACGGGATGGGGTCGCTAACTCCATGCCCAACCCTCCTCCTATCCGGGCTTGGGACCGGCAGTAGCCTCTGGAGGGACTCCAGGCGGAGTTTAGCTTAAGTCTAGATTTTATAAATAATTTCAAAAAATCACTCGAAAACGGTAGTACGGTTGTAAAGGCATTTGACGTTGAACTATTCATTGACAAGTTTTAATCTTATCTATTTTACTGTATTTCGAGCACCCAGATAGCGTAACCGACGCTCATACTTTACTCCTTCTCTGAAAATCCATTAAGTGTTCTTACATTTGTGTGTCTTATTCCACAAGTGAGATTATAAGAATTTTAAATGTTTAGTCATTCGTATTACCGAATTCACTAAGTGAACCTACCTACCTGCTGTTACTTTATACTTACACCGTCTCTGGCAACCTTGACTAATTTGAATAATATTCAACAAGGATAGTACATTATAAAATAACCTGACATATGTATTATGGTAGACCTAACTAACCTATTGTAGTATTTATCGCCTTTGCTCCATGCTCTCTGCTTCCGTTTTATTTTCTCTAGTTATAGATGGTTATAATTGCATTCATTATGGCGTAGGAAATTACCTTAAATGCAACGCTCATACATCAACAAGACGTCAACTTAAAAAGAATTAAAAGGTCCTAGCTGATGCCTTTCATTGTAGTTATACATATGAACAATTTTTGCACTTTAAAACTTAAAATAGTCGTACACCACATATCTGCTCTCTACATTTAATATTACTATTTATATCAGGCTGATCACTCCTGTAAACTGGCTCGAATTTTGTAATTATTATTTTCAGAATATATTATATTAATAGCATTGTACAAGGATTGTGACTTAAAACTGACTACATATACGCGTATTAATTTAGCAATATGATATAATTGTTTCTTTTTTAACAGCATAGAATATAGTACATAAAAACACACTTCTCAATGTTTCAGTTCGGATATATACTTTGAGTTGCAAAATGATTGCATTCAAAATCCTAGTAAATTGATTAGATTCGCTTCCATGCTGAATCCTCATAGAAAAATAGACGACAGTAGAATATTGGCCTTGGTATGACTGCGTAAAATATTACGTAATAATGAAACAAATGTCTCAATCACTTTTGTGCTGTCATCACTTCAACAAGCGAAGCTTTTTGTTGATTTACATTCAAACACTTAAGGGGATCACTGGTTTCTAGCCAAGCCAATGATATTGAATAAGGATGGAATTAAGACACACAAAGCCTGGTTTTAATTGTATTTTACGAAAGGAAATGAACCATGGTGATATTGTGGGGTATCATAAAACTAATACTTAAACGTCAACTGGATTATTTTTCAAAAGCATAACCTAAGGTTTTGTGATAAAAGCAAATTATTCTTTCAGAAATTTACTGAGATATAGTCAATCAACGTAGCAGTCAATCAAGAATCACACAACTCAATCAAGTAGAAGCATCGACACGTGTAATTACTTTACAAATCAGTCAGTTATACGCAATGTGGACCTGACACATGTTCATCGATCCAGGGTGCCATACCACAGTAGTACCGAGATAAAATTATTCCATGACAAATCTTAAATTGGTAGAAGTAGTAACAGTATCAGTATAGAGAAAGGAAACGAAGGTGTATGGGGATTCTGAAACTCACGTTCTACAGAAAGACTTTTACGTCAAATAATCAACCTGTCAGAAATACGATAAAATACTTGTCAGCACTGACTGCCAAACTTCAAAATGCATATACTATAGAGCCAAGTTGGTTTTAGGATAATTCAAAAACCATACCTTATCACCAGTCAAGGATAACAGAATATGGTCTGTTCATTTTAACTCGAAAGTAATTTTGAAGTCAATCCTTTAAAAATGAAAGGCAGAAATAGTTACTTGAATAAATGCATTTGGTCTTGATTCAATACAACTATGAATCAGATCTTAATGGCTTCAGAATTAGACTAGTAATATTAATTACTTACCATGTATGTGTAGTATGCTAAATCAGGCATTATATCCAACAAATGGTGAGGAGAAAAAGTATAATTCGTATTATTTTTCCTGTTATCTATATCCAAGTCTTGTTTAAATAAAAACAATTTACCATTAGATATACATGCATCTACATTATTGCACGCCAAGTTGGTATCTGCATTACTTATACTACAGGTACCTAAAAGCAGAAGGAATAACGGTCGATAAATACATTGATTGTCTTACCCAAATCATTACACAATTTCATAAAATCCTGATGATGATTCCTAATATCATAATCTTCTTCCACATTATAAGTACCTAGTGGCCAACTAGGACGCTTAGATATTGTATGATTATATAGAGATGTCGTAAAATTTGCATCCAATTGATCTTCTCCTTTACACAAATGATACTTTGATTTTGTTAAATCCCTTAGCTGTCCCAAAGGCGTATCAAAATTTGTTATCCATGGTAAAATTGCACTGTTTGATGGATCCCCCTTATGTCGACCAGCCAGTTCATTTAGAAACATCAGGTAATCATAGTTTGTAACCTGAAATAAAGACAACAAATGTTTCATATTGTTAAGCAAAACAAGTTATATGTATTTTGTAATATTTCAGTCTAGCGACTTCCTATCTGATATCTTCGTGACGAAAGATGCTAAAAGTGAATGACGAATTTCGGAGACAAGCCAAATAAAGCACTTTCACGAGGTTAATTATGATAACGACTACCCTTCTTGTTTTAGACCAACCTTATCGATAGTGCAAATGGGGTGAAGAAATAACCATATTATTTGTTCTTGATAACTGGATGAACAGGACATCTACATGATCAAAGCAAGCGCTTAAGAGAATTGCTGAGCTCATCCAAAGAACTGGAAGCCTGGTAATTGCATGAATCTCATTTAAATATAGACAACAATAGTACAGTGACCACTGAAACTCAAAAATACAAGGCGAATATTACAGATATATTAAAAACCATATTAGAAATTCATTCAATGTCGAGACACGTACCTAATGAGTTTGTAGTTTTAATTATGATAACTGTTAACTTATTATGAAATTCCAGATTTTCACAATTAATTTTAGTTTTTCAGATAATGAAGACTATAACCAAAAAAATCGATTCACCAGTCAGCAGAATAAGTCTGAAAAATATAACTACTTGATGAGGTAATTATTACTTACTCGAATAATTAATTCCAGGGTTTTGAGATGTCATATAAACAGTAGAATAACAGTGAAGTAGTTAAGAAATTTGAATTTAAACTACTAGGTTACAGGTTCATACTTTGCCTCGATACTTCAGTTTTGTTAGCCGAACAATAAAATATTTTTAAAAAATAAAAATCCAAGCAAAATATCAAAAACTAATGTCAGAAGAGACTCAATAATCAAGCCCTAATCCTATTGATACTTGAGTGGCGAACGAAGTTTTTATTCCCTAGTACCTTATGTTTAGAATTATTTCAAATCATGTTTATTTCTGTATTTAATATTTTATACACAAATATGAAGTTTAATTAGAAAGCTTTTCCTGTTGTTATCAATTTATATGAACATTTGAATCGTTAGTCCGATCTCGGAAAAAGAATTCATTCGACCATATAGTATCACTATATTTAATCTATCAATCACATCTCCATTTATTTATTTCAACAGTTCTCTAAACGATCATTCACTAGTCAAGGCCCACTCCATAACCAAAACGCAACGGATCTATCAGACAAGTATTCTATTAGATACCACACCAGCAAAGTAAATCTCGTAATATTAAAAAAAAATTGAATATCTAAAAATCAATCTAGAGCAATACTTGAGATTTCCTACGAGCTCGGTTGTTAACTGTTTCTTGAAAAAATTAGATGAATATTAATATCAAGTAGTTTTCTAATTATCTAGTCTTTTAAACAACAATTATGTTCACTCAATTGTATTTTAAATGCTAGGATGATAAATATGATAGAGAAACGATGAAAATACGTTTAAGACAAATGAAATTGTTGTTTTGTCAGTATACTATTAAGAAAGTCTGTGAGTAGAAAGCTTTGAAAATAAATTCGGAGATCGTGACTTTTTAGAACAAATAAGTACAAAGTTAACTAAATACTAATAACATACTGAATTGTTGATTGAGTAGGAAATCTAAACAGAAACTCGATGGACCTTAAATTCGGTCAAATAAGTATCTTAACACTGTAATGCCCCAAGTAATGGTTTCGAAAGAAGCGTAATAACTATCATTCAAAATAACTAGCGTTTTACAATAAGCAATGCGTAAAATTTAACCAGAAATAGTGGAAAGCCGGTTTACAACAAGATTTAAAGTAAAATTTAAAGATTTATTTATCACTTTGATAAAAATAATTTTATTAAAGAGAGTTATTGTATTTAGAAATATTGGCAGAAAAAATATTTTAGGAGTTCAGTGAATATCGTTCTGGAAATTATTAAGGCTTTATACACATATAATGGTAGGAACAGTTGACTTTATAATATATATGGCGGCCTGCTTGAACATCTGAGCTACTGCTCTTGTCATTTAGATATTTCGACAAGTTATCTAATTTTTTGTTTTAATACATCATTATGTCTATTATTCGCATAACCTATTTGGGTGAGTTTCTGAAAAGTGTACAACCTTTCGTTGTACAGATTACAAAAGACCCTATAAGAGATATTGTGGTTGTTGACAATATGCAGCGAAAGGAATATACATTATTTGGTTGTCAATTGATTGGACTGTTAACTTCTAACCGGCGACCACTCAATAATTATTGTTAGGATTGATCAAGAAATAAGGAAAAGAAACTTGTTGAAATACTTTGAGCTTAAAATTACATGTTGTACTAAAATTTTAATGTTGAATAAAGCTTATGTATACATACAATAAAAATAAATGAGAATATGGATTTCATACACAATAGACATATTTGTAAAGCGCCACTGAAGAGTACCAACTTATCCTTCGTTTATTGAATTACATCAAGACAAGATGAATTTGCTTACTTTGTGAAGTATCCAATTAGTTGTCATCGTGGACAGCTTACTACTACTGCACACAGCAATATCGATTTCTGTGGTATTTTCCTCTTCGTTTAACTCATTTGTCTTCATGTTTGACAAAAAGTCAATGGTTTTTGGGAGACCAAGAAAGATGTTGAACTTTTCGTCTACAAATATATTATCCAATGTTATACCACTATGGGGTAAATTTATTTCGTGTAATTGAGTGATGGTATGAATTGCCTGTGAGAATGAACGTGACAATTAAGTAGTAAATTACCTGATAAGTGAGAAATAACAGTGTGTTGTGATTTTTTAGGCGGCCGGGACTATACTTGATTACATCATAGAGAGATACTCCGACAACATCGTAATCCATCATGAGTTCATTCTGATTATATGTGCAATTAAGACATTTAACGAAGTTCAAATTCTGTGGGTTTGAAAGTACATCCATAAAATTATCCAAAATTGATTTGCAAGTCTGAAAAGTTTTTATAATCTTATGTTTGATCAAATCATTACATCTTACCGTTGTCTTTGATACACGACAGTGGATATTATTTTGCAAGATACTTCGATGGTTATTAAAACAGCTACGCCATAAGTGCGCTAACTCTGCTTTTTTTAGTTCGCTTAAGAAGTCACTAAACTGAGTAGTGTGATTGTGGTGGCTAGGATGTACAATATTTATTTAAAAATCAAAAATCTCACTTTACTTGAAAATTCAAAGATGACATTCGAAACTTCCAAACCTTTCTTTTTTTCATTATATAAACCAACTGGATTGCACTGGAATATATACAAAATGTGAACTATCGATGCCTCTAAAAGTTCGGTGTAAATTATGGGGAAAAATACACTCGTAAATTTCTTCAATGCGAGCGGTCTCAAAGCAATTAATTAAGTTCAGACTCACCTCAGCACTAACTCTATGAAGTATGGAACAAAATATCGAGTTATTATAAGCAAATATAAAAGTAGATAGGGGTGGGAGAACTAATATCTAAAAAAGGTAGTTAAATAAGACGCATCGAACTAACTTCCAATTGTTTTCCTAGGTGTTCCTACTACGAATACTATTGAAGATTATAGCTGCCAAATTACATAGATTATACGACTAAATGAGTCTTTCATTAACAAATGTCTCTATTTACGTCTAGCACATAAAACACAACCTACGAGTCACTTGGGTGTTATATGTGAATGTCTAAAGGGCAGTAGTGTTTATACGCTAATAATTTTTCAAAATATGTTTCTTGGTTGGCACCTTTAAGCCAAAGGTATAAGTGGATGTGAAAAATGATACAGTGAGTCAGTGGATTTAAGGTTCAAATGATACTATCAGTCATTAGCAGACAAACTTGCTCTGAAATGTCTAGGCATAAGATAGATCTTTTCTGAAGACACGACTTTTACAACAATTTAGGTAGATGAGATACTATTTTTCTACACCTCATCTTATACTTAAGAATTAAGATCGTAAGATGTTCATACTTTTAGCTCGACACTTCATCGCCGACCAGATTTTACGAGTACTTAGCTCCAAATGTGCTTAAGGCATCGTTTGACAGTCAGACTAGGACTTTCTATTAGCGATAATCTTTCTATTGAAAAATCTAAAGTGATGATGCTAGATAGACACCATCATACAAATGATCACTAAAATTTGTTCTTAATATATTGCCTTAATTTATTCATTACTACAATGCATAGAACCTACCTACCAATATACTAATTACCGACAGCACCCACAACAAACCAACCTTGAAGAGTGGAAAAGTACTCAAAACTGTAACCTAAATGTTGAAAGGTCAGCTGCAGTCTTCAATCGCCAATATAAATGGTTCAAATAGTTCAAATGGTTGTGGACGGAATAGAAGAAGCTTTCGCTTAACAGGCTTCCGTTTCTAGTAGCAGGGGATCACCAAATCCTCCAGGCAGGAACCTAGGTATGTTAACAATAAAAGAGGAAAAGAAATTGGTAAATCATAATGTGATGCTGTCCTTGGTCCTTAAGAATAGGTCAAGTTGCCTCTTGAAGGACTCCTGAGAAGTCGCTTGGACTAGCTCGACCGGCAGTGAATTCCAGCTTTTGACAACTCTTAAGGAGTATAAGTTGTGTCTACATTCCGTCTTGCTATGTTGTGTTTCCAGTTTCTAGGTGTTACCCCTTAGGTTATTATTCGAACTAAGCTTAAGTAGGTGTTTAAGAGGATGTCCAGAAGTGTTAGGAATACTATAAGCCATTTGTAAATCACCTCTAAGACGCCTATATTCTAGTGGGTAAAGGCCTAGTGAACGGAGGCGTTCTTCGTAAGGCTTAGATTTGAGTCCTCGAACTGATTTCGTTGCTCGCCGTTGGATACGCTCTAAAGTGACCTTGTCCTTTTGGAGTGAGGGGGGAGTACTATGTTTCCGTACTCTAAATGGGGACGGATGAAACTATTGAAGGTTGTATGGAAAGTTCGTCCGTCAAACTGTCCAAAAATGCGCTTCAACGTTACCAGTGCAAGGTTTGCTCGGAAGGCATTTTTGTCACAGTTAGCGTAAGACTTTAAGTCATGGGGCACCAGGACTCCTAAATCTTTTTCTACTTGGGATACTACTAGAGAGGAGTTTCCTAAGTTGTAACTGTAATTTGCGACATGTCGCAGATGGACTACTTTACACTTTGAAGTGTTAAAGGTAAGTCCGTTATCGTCTGCCCAACTTTGAAGTCGCGTCAGATCCTCCTGAAGTGCCTGTTGCGTATCTCTCTCCAAAGTTTCACGTGGTCGGCAAAAAGTAATAAGTCTGACGTTACCTGTTGAGGAAGATCATTTATGTAGATCAAGAAGAGAAGAGGCCCTAGTACTGAGCCCTGGGGGACCCCACTAGGACATTCCATAGCCTGAGATAAAGTGAAATTAACCCTAACCTTAAAGTGTCGATTTTACAGGTATGAAGTAAGCCAATCGATTAGAGGTGGTTTGATACTTAGTCGTTTGAGCTTGTTGATAAGACACAAGTGGTTAACCTTATCAAAAGCTTTTGAGAAATCAAGGTAAATGACATCAACCTTTCCCTTGCGATCGAGGATGCTTGTCCATCTGTCCACCGCAGTCAGCAGGTTGGTTATACAAGAGTAACCCTTCCTGAAACCATGCTGTTGGGGTGAGAAGAAATTTAAGGACATTAGATAGTCAATTAAACCGTCGCATATCAGGGACTCCATGAGTTTTGAAGGTAATGACAGAAGAGCCACCGGCCGATAACTTGAAGGTTCATTGCGTCGATCACCTTTGAAAATTGGTGTGATGTGAGCCAACTTCCAATTTTCCGGTAATTTGCCTCGGCTAAGCGAGTGTGAAAACATCACGCTAAGCGGCGTTGCCAGGATTGAGGCTGCCTCCCTCAGTATGGCAGGATGAACCATATCCGTGCCCGGAGAAGTGTCAAGTCTTAAGTGCTGCAATTTCCGGAACACCAAGTCAGCGCTTAGGTCCACTACAGAAAGTCCTGTGGAGTTGGAGATGAAATAATAATAATAACTGTCGTCAATAATGTTGATGTCAGCCGGTTTAAATGTTTGAGAGTAATGGGCCGCCAGAGGGTTAGCGGCGTCGCCATCGTTGTTGGTCGGGCCGTTAAGACCTAGCAGTTGAGAAACTCCTGTTTTGGCTTGACGAAGAGAGGCTGCACAACGGAATAGGCTTCTAGGGTTAGAGGCGAATTCGACCATAAGCTTTGTTTGGTACTGAAGCCTGTCTTCTCTTATAGCCTTCGTGCATGTGTTCCTGATATGTTTGTATTGCCTATACGCTCCATCTTTATTAGTTCGTCTGTATTCCGCCCAACAGTGCCGTTTGCGGCTTAGGAGGCGAAGGGTACGGTTCTTGATTACTGTAGGTGGCTTGAAGCTTTTGGGAACCGTTTGAGGAACTGAATGGTCTGTAGCACATAAGAGCGTGTGCAGTAAGAAGTCCCAATGACCATCCACATCGATTTGAGGGTGAACATCCCAAACCACCTGTTGTAGATAGTCATGTAGAGCCGGCACATTCAGCCGTTTAAAATTCCAACGCAAATTATTGTTGGGATACCTTAGCTTAGTTTTGATGACAAAACTGAAGGCTGTGACTGTTTCTCCAACGAGTTGCCGACCTCACATTTTCATATAAGCCCAAGTTATCGATGAGGTTGAAGAACCGAGCTTCAGTTGAGTTGTCGCCTCCAGTGTACGTGTGTTCCGCGAAGTTGACTCTAGGGAGAATAAAGTCCCCTAGAATCAGGATATGTGTGAAACCGAGACGGATAGAGCGGGATAGTCCTTCCAGCATACGAATATCGTACTCGGTGTCGGCAGTTGGCTTCCTGTAAATGACTCAGACTAGACACCTGGAAGTACTAGACAATCTTACAGAGCACCATATGGATTCCTCAAGATTGTTAAACTCGAGGTTGTGAACCTGGTGCACCTCCAAGCAAGAGCTTATGTATATGGCTACTCCGCCCCCAATTCCTATTTTTCTGTCGTTGCGGAACAAAGTCATCCCAGGTAATGCTAACTCTTGATCCGAGAACTGAGAAGATATCCAGGTTTCAGATATTCCTATCAGATGGGCCTTGCTAGCGTTGCTAAGTTCACGTAGTTCATCCAGTTTGTTTGGTAAACTCGCGGCGTTCGTATATAAGCAGTTTATGCTTTCAATTTGGAACGCATGAGCTTCGTCCTGTTTTTCTGTATGAACCTTATGTGAATGGACAGGTAGCCCACCTATATGAGGTTTGCCGAGGTGGTAGGCCCTGTCCTTTACACGTTTTTTTTATCGTTTAGACAGTCCACAAGTGGAATGGTCAGCTCCAACTTGCCTTTGTTCTTGGTCCTGACTTCGTATGGCCTATCCGGGTGCATGTGGATTCCAGGTGGCAATCGACGTCTACTAGCACGAAATGCTTCCAGAACTGCAGCCGCCATGTGGGAAGATGGGAAGGTTATCTTCATCAGACGGGGTCTAAGATCACCGTCCTTCTTGGCTAGTCTCGTCATATTCTGAGTCAGTATGTGTTTGAGCCTCAAGGACTGTTTGATGAATTTCCATTCCCTGATGTCAGAATTTGATTGAGTAGGGTCTGCATTTTCCGGTATACCTTGGACAATTATGTTTCTTCCGCGGAAAAACTTCTCGCGAGATTCTTTAGGGACGTTTCGTATGATACTGCGCTCAGAGTACGGTATGTCGGGCAGTATTCTTACGTTACCATCTGATTTCAGCAAGTGGCTTGCTAGCAAGATGTCCTCTACGTCGGTAGCATTCTTAAGTGTTACTCAGAAAAGCCTCGGGTGATTTAGATGCTTAGAATCCTTTCCTCGAGTGAGCCGGGTGACCGTCAAAGGCTCTATTCTAGGAAGTTCGAGCTTCTTGTTCAATTCACTCCAGATCATCCTGTCGTTTTTGTCCTGCAGACTGAGAGGAAGGTCAGGATTGTCAACGAGGTTCATGATAATGAGAGAATCGTCACGAACTGTTGTTAATTTACCAGGTTTCACGATGGGTTCAGGTTTAATAACTTGTTGTTTGGAGGTCAGTTTGCGTTTATGAATCACGGGCTCTTTATTGACCGGACGAACAGTCTTGGGGGTAGACTGTGCGACTAAATCACCAGTTATTTTCCGTGCAGCAACACTTGGGTTGCTCGGCTTAGGCGGTGATGCCTGGTTCTTTTGGGCTCTCTTAACATGGGTCGAACCACCTGCAGAGTTTTTGGGAACCACTGTTGTGTTCAGCGACCCTGAGCTGGGAGACCCGAGTTTGCCTAGGGAGTTCAGTACCGTCGACGTAATGATGGTAATGAGCCTCGACACGTCGTCGTTAGTGTTGATGGATGCTCCATCGATGGAATACCTATCGATATCCCTATTTTTGAGTCCGTTGCACGCTCTTGTTTGTA